GAACGGCAAGCAGATCGAAACATCCAGCGCACTGCTCACACACAAATGACGCACAAAAACACAGAACGAGAGCGAACTAACAATGTCTACCGCTCGACACGTAAAGCGCTGTTTAAACAAAAACGACGCATGAAACCTAATCACAGGTACAGATTAGTGTAAACTAAGCAGTGCCCCAGTTATACATCGCTGTGTATGAAAAGCGCCCCTTTTCGCAAACAAGGCATGTGCACTTGCCGGGCCCACTTTGTGGGCCTGGCAACTAACGCTCGAGTGAAAGCCGAAGGCACACGATTCTCCCCACCAAAGGATAAGCGCGCGCACAAGCATTTAAACCCCCCCCCCCCCCCCCCCATCCACGGGGCAAAGTACGCGTGAAAGATGAGCGCGCCGCATCGTGACGAGATGGGCGCCGAGCGCGTGAGGTTTTTCTTTATCGAGTGTTCATATATATATAGATACGTATCCATATACGGTGAATTTTGGTGGTGGCGGCGACGGCAAAACAACCAGCCGAGACTGTCCATATATTTGCTATCGCAATAAAACCAAGTGGACAAAATGTAGGGTAACAGGGCTGTTATACAAACCAGAGAAGTCTGAACGTGCGAATGAATGTATTGAGATCTTTGAAGAGGGATGCAGGGAATGCATACAGACTTTTCAGAGGCGTCAGGCGGGCTGCTGCGTTAAACATAATTCACGGACTAACGTGGTTAGAGTCTATGTATGGCCTGAGATGTGCATCTAAAAGCGGATCTTTCGGGGCAGCATTTGTAGCGGCGAAATGCATTCCCTCTTTCTCATTTGTGTCGAGAGTTGTGAAAGCTGCGTGGCGTCAAAATGACGTTGCGGAAGGAAGACCAGAAACAGGCGGCGCGCACCAGCCAATCAGGGGAGGCCGAAAATTGGACACCGCCAAAAATTGGCTAATAGAGATATAACACTACATCAAATGCTTTTTTTATGTGTGAATGTGTGGTTTGTCTATTGACAGTTTTAAGTGTACAAATATGTCATGCAACATTTGTTATCTATATGACAAAAGTCTATATGTATAAAGCAACACGATGTATACTATGTGCCGTTGATCACTGCTGTGATGCCCTCCGTCGATGTCACTAACTTATTCAGTTTGGCTTGAGCATGATCGTTGCATGCAGTGCTTCATTAGAGTAAAATGTGTGCACTGCTGTGAAGCTTTTGTGTGGATACCTCACTGTGACATTACTTCGATTCTCAAATTTAAATACTCAGTAAGCAAAATGCAAATATGAATGTGTTAGCCGAGGAAAAAAAAACCTTAAGAACCATTCAGTTTTTTGAAGAACCAAATTTTTCTTTAGCACATGCAAATAAATGAAAGCTTTAGTGTATAACTTTGGCATTTCCGGTTTCACTTTTAATGTTAGTTTGTGTGCAAATGAACTGCAAAACAACTTTTTCTTTCTTACAAAGCTGTACACTGAATGTTCAGAAAAACAAAACCATGGCTTGCTGTAGCAGAGAAAAACACTGTGATACTGCATAACTGTTTTTTGAAGTGTACAGTGAAAATGTATCAAAGGTGACATGCAGACACAAGTGCACCCAATCAATATTTTATCAGCAACATCCTCAAAGTAAATTTAAACTTAGTTACAACTGTGTTAGCCTGTGTGGAAAGCAACAATGGAAGATCAGCCAGGCAATGCAACAGAGAGGTGTGCATAAATTAGTGAACATTGTAATAGTTGTGCCACTGATCATGACACTAGCTGTGTGAATGAAAGGGAAAATAGCTTAATCACAAGAAGTCATGGTGAGGTATCCCCAATCGTCATGTGTATGCCTTCTGACGTTTGCCAGGCACATGACCTTTGGCGTATTCCGCTCACAAGATGATTCCGTCACTACACATTGTGCGTCTTGTTCAACATCATTATTTTTCTGCTCTTTTATGATTATTCTGCACTACTCATCCATGACATGTACAGAAAACTGGTGCAACCGATGAGATAGCATGCATGCAAATATTTATGGATGTTGCGCTGTTGATTGGCACAAGCTACAAATCTGACGGCGCATTCAGGAATATATAAATAGGGGTAGCAGGTGTACAGTAGTCAGCATGCTTAACGTGAACGCTCCAATGCGCAACCAGGACCAGTTTGACTGATGCCAGCTGCGAAGCGCTGGGTGCTGTTGTCGAGATAATAGCTCGGAATGCTTGAATAGTACGTGAGCATGCATGGTAACATCCTGGCAACAGAACCCAGAGCTACATGACGCTATAGTGCCAAACTGTTTCAGGACATGCTGCATAGCGTTCGTATTAAGCTTGCTGACTGTACATGACTCTTACAACTAAACCCCTGGTTGATTTCAAAAAGAATTTCCCACAGAGGTAGCATTTTACAGTGGGCCCAGGAGTCTTACTTGCTTATTTTGTTCACAAGGAAGTCTAAGTAAGAACCATTTATGGCATTTTAACACTCAAGAAGTCCTGATATTAGCCCCATGAGAAAAGTGGTACTACACAATATTGCTATGATAAAGGGCACGAGCTGTCACAGCCGTGAAAGATAACACCATTGTTCTGTAGCAGCAAAAATTGTATGCTTTCATGTTGCTGCAGAAAATATGCATGGTAGTTACAATATTATACACTATCCAATATGATACTTCTGTGCAATACCAGCACAGAAATCAGCCAGTAAGATTCACTTACACCTGGTATTCATTGTACAACATTCAGCAAAATGGAGAAATAGCTAAATATATAAGATGTTTAACGGTAAAATGTGCTTTAAAACAGAGACATTTTTGGTGCACATATTGATGTTGCTGTACAGTGAGTATTTTTGTTGAAATGTGATACAAGTAAAACAATATAAACAAAAAATGTCTCACCCAAGTTAATGTCTTCATGGATGTTCCAAAAGTTCCATCGCAACAATAGATGTGTTGTCACCTGTAGCCAGATTGGTCACACAACAGGCTTTCGAAATAAAAAACTGAGGAAGAGCCGGATGAGAGCTGTTTGCTGCAGGCGAGTCTAGTCTTAATGAGATTGCCAGCAACTGTTTTACCCAAACACCACCCATCAAGCACACTACATTTAGAAGTTCATCACATCTAATATTAACTTGTGGTAGATTATCCAAACCACAATAACTTGAGCATTGCACAAAGCACGTCTCTCTGAGATATCTAATGTCCTCACAGGAGTGGAATATCACTTACTTGAGAGTATACAGATATCTTCACAAGTAACTCAAAGCTGTCAGTGAAGGTCTTGACCAAGTAGCACAAGGGTCAAACTGACTTTAGCCAGAAAGCCGCAGTTATTAAATACAGCACTGCGATGGCAGGGTAGTGCAGAAGGTTGAAACAAGAGGGGGCGGGGGCGGGGGGGCTGTTAGAATAAAAAATCAGCTAATGCAGGCATTTGAAAGGAAGCCTTTTCCATATATGATATATTTCTGAAGGGGATTCGGGGTATGCGAGATGTATGGAGAGACAGTACACCATCGATACCGATCTGCAGAATGAGTGAAACCTGGACGCCGATTCTGAAATAGAGAGTTCAATGGTTGTTTCAACACATGGTGACCACATGGAGTGCACGAAAATAATGCTTGATATTTTTCATATCTGCGTAGCCCATGGATATACTTATAAAAAAAAATATATGGGACAACAACAACGTTGTGGGAGCTGGGCCGCTGGCTAAAAGTGCATGTGGCTTGCTGCTTGTTCGAGACATCTAAAGTAAAAGCAAATGAACCAAATGTATTCTACAAGAGTTCAAGATTGTATCACTTTGACATGCTCTAGAAATTGTTAAAGCAGGACACGTACAAAGTGCTCAAGCACAGAAATTGCACAATCCCACAGAAGCTCCTATGTACCACTGTGTTTGTGATCTTAAGATTCTATACCAAGGTCAATGACGACACGAAGCTATCTTTCCCACTGCTTCGATTGAAAGCTTAACATGCAACAGCGCTGACCTAGTTTAACAGAACACACATACAATATATATCTAAAATGCCAACACTGTTTCATTATATTTGTGACATGACATGTGGTATCGATGCAAGCATGATTGAGATGTGCTCTTTGCGATGCTACTTCAGGTGAGAGTCAGATGAGACATTACTGAGTGCAGATTTCAGTATACATAGCATCATTATAGCGTCGTCTTAGTCTATGGTATTCTGCTATAGGTAAAGGCTTACCAAAATATTAAAATAGCATATGTGAGGCTTTGAAATAAAAAAACTGAGGCGGAGCTGGATAAGAGCTGTTTGCTACAGGTGAGTCTAGTCTTAATGCTCGCGTAGCTGTCATACATCACATAGTATGTGTATGCACAATGTAGAAAATAATAACCATATCAGCAGTTCTACATGGTCGAACACGGTAGACAGTGCCAGGCCATTTGTTTGGTCAACTCAAGTTTTTGCATGCTTTTTTCATCTTGCATTATTTTTCAAGTAAGTGATAAACGAACCATTGACATCATGTGGCACCAGCTATGAAAGACCAAAAAAAGAAATCTAGCAAATGCATAATCCACTACCTCAAACGCTCCGTAAGCATCTGCCACCACTTGATAAGCCCAGTATCGATTATATGAGTGTGGCCCTCAGAAACAGTGTCAAATAGACATGAATACTTACCTTTCTAAGCTTAAAGACGCGAATCTTAGTAAAGCAAATAGAGGCGAAACTAACCAACTACAATGTGAAGAATGGCCACTTGATAGATTCGAGGTAGACGGCAACCTGTTTTGTCAAGGCGGCCATGTTTTTCGTGTGTTTCTATGTGCATCCGGCTTTTTTTAGTAGCTAGTAGCGTGCACGCACGCCCAGTTCATCCCTAGTATTCCACCATAGCCCAAACGCTTTGCATGCAGTGGAATGTTGGCCAGACTAAAACACTATGTTGCAACAAAAATGTGTCTATAATGCACACTAAGCACTTTAGCCCATAAAGCTATAACCGCAGCAATATTAAAGCTAGAACCGTAGCAATATCTTTATTAGGTAAGAGCTTCAAACTGCCCTTTCACCCCCAGAAATGAAGATCCTGTTTCACAGTGTCCCTGTTCTCACGCCTTTGCCGAGTAACTGCACTGGCCTCGCCCTTCACAATGACCTTCTTGCTCCGTGCACGTTCCTTGCTGGTCAGCTGCTTCTTCACGCGTGCTTTGATTTCCTCAGGTGCGATTGTAGTGCAGCTTGTCATACTGTAATAGGTTCTGATGCTCCTGCTGTCTTCGCTCCTTGTGTGTGCCTCCACAGGCTGTTGGTCACTCCTGTCCCCTGGGACCAGCTCTGGAACTATGTCTTTATCTTCATTACCCATTGTTTTCTCCTGTGAATCTCCCAGCGAGAGGGAAGAAATATCAGCATTAGATACCCGAGTTGGTGCAACATCTCTGCTGGCATCCCCACTGTGGGTGTCTTTTTCCGATTCTGGAATGGTCTCTGAACCATCCTCTAGAATGGTTTTGCAGTTATCTTGGTCATTTTGGAAACTTGCCTCATCCTTGCACTGCTGTTGAGTGTCAGCGATGAAACGCTCCATTATGTGACTTGCCGGCTTCTGTGCCGCCTTGGCTCTCCGATCATTTTTCTCAGATGAACTGGGCTGATGTGCATTCGTGTCTTTCAAGGAGTCCTTGTCATCATCACCAGAATCCTCTTCCGAATCTTCTTTCATCTGTTGCACAGCCTATTAGCAAGATGGAGCTATGAGTCTCCACAATGACATTTCAATGAATATATCTAACAATAGCAGTGAATGTCAAGATAAATTTTGCAGTAGTTATGAGAGTAAATCTGGATGAACAAATGTAAAATTATGAACCTAATACAATTGCAAGTTTAAGCTCATCATTTTCACTGCAGTAAAGTTTCAGAAATAACCCTTCGTTATACAAGGCGTCTATGAAAAATAATGTAAAACTGATTACATCTGCTGCTAAATTTTACATTGCAGACATGAGTAATTTAGACTGCAACTACACTACTATGATCAGCTGTAACCATTCTGTACAATTCTCATAGACTGACACACAATGTAAATACTTTCAATATAGTATTAAGATAACCACATCCTGTCGCTATGAATCTATCTGCTAAGGCAATCTTGACTCTGATAGAAGGTCCTAAGTCAGAATTAGATAAATATGACGCGAACTTAAGAGAGTAGAAACAAAAGTACACGCATTACTTAGCCCTAAATTGTAATGCCTCAAGCCGTGAGCACTGCAATCTACCTATATGTATAATTCTGTCTTGGAATAAGTAAGTGTTACGCTTGCGACCAAAAAAAATTGCTTGAGAGCCACATATGATTAATTAGTTCACTGGCAAAAAGACAGGTTATACGGCTAAGTAATACTTTTGACGTTCATCGAGCACTAACTACAAATATAGCTCACGTTACAGAACAAAAAACAACGAATGAAAAATACCTATGGGAGAAGTTACAACTATTCAAAAGTCATTAGACACTAGAACGAGCTAGCGCAAAATATTTTGGATATGTAAAGCTCACATATATATGGAGTGGCTCTTTCAACAAAATGGCAGACTTTCTTTAGCTTTACTAAAGTGCACATTTGACCACCTTAGTTCTTAGAGACAACGGAAATGGGGATAGGAATATCAATCAACAAATAAAGTCAACTAACAGAAATATAGCATTTAGAACAAATCACCAAATGCTGATCTGTCAAAACACAAAAATAAAAAGGATGGGTACATAAGTTCTTGATTATAATTTGAGTTATTTCTGAAAGCAGATAGTTGTAAAAGCTTAGACTGTGAAACCGTAGACACAAAATGATTACAACTTAGGTGACTGATGTAAGACTTGAGAGAAAAAAAGTGCCAATTCACTGAAAAAGTTCTAGCATTACTGAAACTCAGTTGACATGTCTAACAAAATTCATTCCCGATATCTGAAAAAAAGTACTATAAAAAGCATTAGGCATTTCAAACAACACACCTCGTCAAGTTCCTCCTTGACCTCTTTTGAAAACCCACTTGCAGCTGTCTCAAGGTCAAGGGTGTCATCTCTCCTGCAATTTTAATTAAAGGTTATTGGCAATTCCTGCAAAAATTATCTACTTTTGTACCCATATTAATCTCATCTAACCTAAGAGTATTCACAATCATAAATATTTATGAGTACTGCAATTCCTTGTTATGAAGAAGTTGTTTTACTCAAAATTTTTTCCCGTCTTAACCCGAACACATCCATATTAAACCGCATTACTCAAAAAGTGCGAACAGCTAGACCTACTTAGAACAAAGCAGCGGCCACCGTTTCGCGCATGCACTGTTGAAGTAGCCCCGCCAACGTTTTATTCAGACACAGAAGTGACCACAAAGGTATCAAACTTATGAACACCAAGTAACCGGTACCAAGCAAGTGTTTAGTGCCCCCCCCTGCTGGTTACAGTCGCCGACGATATTTTTTTCAACTTCAAAATTTCAAACTTCAAGGATATTTTGGATTTCATAAATCTACAATCAAGGTCCCCGTAGCACAGATACATATTTGCAACTAATTTTTCGGACATATTTATGCACCAAGTTTGATTTTTAGACCAACTCGCTCGTTTTGAGCTGCACCTATAAGACCTACCTATACTCTGTTTCACCACTTTGGTAGCACTACCTAAGCTACTGGGAGTAAGAAAGCCACACACTTGTGCAGCAAAACATAGTCCCAGATATAATTAGTGCCATAAAATTGACCGGGTTCACTAAATTTGGTGTTTGTTTGGTGTGTGTTACGCCACATCTGTATGTGTTACGTTGTGAAAATTAAGGATAGCCTGCCGCCTTTACGCGGGCTTTGCCACCTCTTTCTGCCGTTTTCATGTTGTGGTAGTGGTTAGAAGAAAAAAAAAGGCACCTAATTTCTTAGGTGCATCCTTAGGTGCATCCTTAGGTGAGATGTACATCCTCCCCTTTTGGGTGAGGATGTACATCTGTAGCGTCTATAATAGTGGCATCTATGTGGTGTCTGCAGTGAAATGGAATTCTTTTCTAGTACTATTATCCCTTTTTAGTTCACTATAGTGCCTTCTGCTACGGCCCGGCTACCATATTTCAGATGCCGATGAGATGATGGCGTCCCACCGTTCGTCAAAAGTGCCGCCAAGTGTGTTGGCCAAAATAGTCGACGGCAGTGATTGCCGCCACACCCGTTTACAACCAAATATTCTCGTCCTCAAGCGTAGCAGGAAACAGGGCATTATTCGAGATTATTCGAGGCTGCTTTACTTTAAATAAGCTTCATGTTCATGTCTACACAACCTTTTAGAAATATTTTGCAGTTCCTGCCTGGCCTGGAGAATCGGTCAGAGAATGTAGCGGAATGAAACTGAGCTGTCAAATTCCATCATGCAGAGTGCCTAAACTATTTATCTCGATCGTAATCACATTTCTGCTGTCCCTAATAATAAAATCTAGGGGAAAGTGAAGTTTTCCTGGTGCTTTACAATGCAAGTAAACCAAAACTAAAGTCTCTTGGATGCAGAAAAGTATCCAAAAAATAAAGAGCTGACTTGAGCTATAGCATTTCACTGGGTACACGGTGTGATTGGCCATGCGAGTGCGTTATTGAGAGTGCTTTTTTTTTTTTTTTTAAATAAGGTTGCTTCATCAAATACATCACATTTCTAGCACAATTAAAGCTCGACTTCTCTACATTTTTTTTTTAAGTGGTCGCTTACATCGAAATAGTACCACTTACAACAAATTTTTTTGCCATCCTACTGACTTCATTATAGCGAGAAATTACTTCTTCAACAGCTACACATCCGCATTGTAGAATATTACCGTATGTAAGAGCACTTGAGCTATAAAACTTCAAACTATAGTTATTTTCAGACATTCTGTCATTATAGACCCCTTAGACAACTTGTACCACAAAAGTTCCAAATGGACACTTTTTTTTTCTGATGCACTCATTTTGTATTCATCAAACAAAACTGGTGTGATTATGTGGCATGTTAAATTAAGAAAGAGGCAGAAAAGAAACAAAATATGCAACTGATTTTGTCAGTATTCGATAAATGATAAAACATTTTCCATTTGAATACGCTTCGACACTCTATAGGTACAAAGTAGAAAACTAACTTAACTTCAACTCAAGTTTGAAGCACATAAACTGCATTGAAATTAATGCCGACCAATTATTGGAAAATAATAAAGCATGTTATGATGTACATGAATGAAGAGACACACTTTATTTTGGAGGACCGGATCGAAAATGTATTTCAAGGAGAGACACTGCTTTTCAAACTTTTTTAAACTGATCAATTATGATAAAACTTGCTCAGTTGATGTATACTTGTGAGCCATTTTCAAATAAACAATTATATTCTAGTAATGCAAGTTGTAGCTTAAAATAAAACGTGCTCAGTTGATGTATACTTGCGAGCCGTTTTCAAATAAACAATTATTATTCTAGTAATGCAAGTTGTAGCTTAAAAAAACACTTCATGTGCTTTTTTTGAGTAAAATCTTTCCTTTGTTGAGACAGTTGCAAAGTAAGCCTGCATATCACAATAACCTGGACAGAGAACTGTATGCAATAAAACAAGAATGGTTATTCTTGTTTTATTGCATATAGTTCTCTGCAACAGTTATGGCATGATAAACATTTACAAGCGAATTGATTTCAAACTGAAATTTCGTTTATAAATGCTCATCATAGGTTCCATAACAATTTAAAAAAGCTTTAAAGTGTAGTGAGGCACCTTGATGTCCATCAACTTTTTATCATTATGAAACACAAAATATGTTGTTTTCTCCATGTCAGACAGTGCAGAATATTCGCACCCCTCCAGTGGCCAAGCTCTCGTTGCAGAGCCCCATAGCTCCTACAATGCAGCCGCAGTCACAAACCCGACCTGTGCTGTCACTAAGCCCGTGTGCAAATATTAAAAATTTCAAATATTCTCGAATAGTGTTTTCTATTCGATTCGATTCACACTGGATTGAAAGTGGATTGGATTCACCATGATTTGATTCACACTAGATTCATGTCTGATTAAAAGTGACCCCTTAAAATCTTTAATATGCTTTACCTCTATATATTTTCGTGTTGTGGCAAAGCTGCCTTTCAGACTTCACTACAGTCGAGCTTGAAATACAGTCGTTTTAATTCAAAATGGCTACCTTCAAAATTTTTTTCAACTGCTTCACCTCGTCACACTCCTGTATTGCAGCAAAGCTGCCTTTCCAGCTCCAATACGGTTGCCAGTGTATGAGAGGGGCCCTACAACACTTTTTGAGCATGGTCAGAAAACGCTGCCGATCGGTAGTAGAGGCTCCCAAGAACACGCAAGCCAAACGTTATAGCGCAAAACGCGGTCTGGAATTTACAATAAATGATCAAAGTAAGCTAAATATTGCTTTCTCTTCACTTGACAAGTGACAGAAGACACTCAGAAATCACTCGTACAATGCCAATTTATCAGCCATTGGCTGATTTGAATTTGGCACTTTTGGTCGTTACTAAGATGGCGAGATTCCATCACTTGTCCACGCGCGCACGCGCTATCACACTAAAAAACTTGCGTATTCGAAGAAAAAAAAGAAAAAGTGGTCAAAGTCCCGAGGCATGACGTTTTTTCTTTGCCCCTCCAATCTCTCCTTGCTTAGCTTCCGGCGCTTTTGTCTGGACGAGAGAAGAGAGAATGCGACTGCAGCGTATGACAAATCTTTGTAACTGCGCTCGTACAAAATGGATTCTCAAAATGTTTACAGCATTGAACTTCTGAGGCAATAAGCTCTTCCAGTGAATTAATTCCATGATTACTTCAAAAATGTTTCAGGACTCCTTAAGTCAAGAAAATGCTGGTTCCAATATAAAGATGATAATGTGGCAGAAGGTAGGGGCTCAATTAATGCTGTTTTTGACCTCAATTTTGGGCCGGAAGTCCGAAAAATCAGATGCCAACAATTTTTAGAATCCAAAATTTCGGATATTACAATATATTGATGTCTACAAGGCAGATTTCGAACCCTGGACTCGAAAGTAGCACATTCTTGTCTGTGCCATTAGTTAGGCTTCCACAGAAGTTGAAAGAGGTGGAGGGACTAAAGAAGTGGCATCTCTGCCATTCACACCTAAGACGAACCTAACCTGACCTATTGTCGGCAACACTTTGGCTGCACCAAATCATGTCACATACATACAAGTTGGCCTCTGCATTCCCTCATTCTTGATAAGACTATGAAATACCACCCCGCCAGCACTTCATCAATGTAGTGTAAAGAAACACTTTAATCTTGCTACATCTGATAAGAATATGCTTAAGAATGCTCTCTAACATTTTTCTTCCCACAATTTCGCTTCGAACTATTTAAAAATATTGAAAAAATATTAGATTTACCTAATGCGCACTCACAGTTCAATATATGAATTTGCTTCACACCCAAAATTTAGCCGTTTGCACAGCTTGCCCCTTCTCCTGGTTGAATTTCAGTATGGAGCATGCCAAAAACTTACTATATGCCACAAGGCTGGTGCAAGAAGACGATTTGCATATTTTTTAAGTATGTAGTACCTTCATTTGTGATAATTAGGTGTTTTCTTCTGCTGAAAGCACTTGATCTATTCTTTTGTTAGTGGTACTAAATGCAGAATTTATCACATGGTTCGAACCTAACTGATGATTTTGGAGGAAACAAAAGCTTTGCTATGAAAGTACTAGACAGATGTAATAAAAAAACCTTAAAATGGTTTGTTAAAGCAAACATTAAAACTGTCCAAGGGTTGTCGTGAGTACTTACTCAATGTCATTGAACTTGGGGAAAAGTTCACTTTCATAACCAAAGCGCTTCTTGAAGAACTCCCTCACACAGTTGACATCCCTATCAAAGTACCTGAAACAAAAACGATAAAAAAGTGGAAAGAGGAAATCACGCAGGAAAAGTAATAATAAAGCATACGAATACTTGGAGTAGGCATCAGTCACAAGGTAGGAAAGCCAGATTCAGAAAGTCGGATACCTTAAATCTACACATGGGCGTTTATAGTCAGCTAGCTGCACTTGGTGTGCCTAAGTGAATTTATAATGTGAATATTTGTTTAAGCTTTATGTGAACTCACGAGAAATACACACCTGTATTATATGAGCATATGGTTGAGTCATATATACACTCACACACACTACACTAAAGGTACCTCTGGAGTGAAGCCTCAGTCAACAGCGGGGAGCGGGCAACGAATTGCCTCATGCCTGACCTTGCTATCACTTATAACAAGTAACCCCATGTAGTGACACCTACATCCCCACAGGTGTCACAGGCGGACCTTGAAAACTACACTGTGATTGGTCCAATGAACATGAATACAATAACTGCTTTTTAACGCGATAGCGTTAAGGAGCTCGTTTCGCAGCAATTCCGGTGTCGGAGTTGGTGTCATTGGTTGTGAGCGAAAAATCATTATCATGTGGGTGACCGAAAAATCGAGAAAGAAACAAATAAAATAAATGAAAAATTCTGGGCCTGAGTGAGAATAGAACCCGGGTATTTTGCATGGCAAGCCAGTGTTCTACCATAGAGCTACGTGTCTGCTTGGAAATATAGTGAAAAGGACTTCCTCTGCAAGAAAATGCAGTGATGGTAAATTGCATGCTTCACAAACACACGCATCCTGCACACATTCTTCACAATGCAACATGTAATGTCGCAGTAATAGTGTGTGATACAAGCGTGTGCATCGAAATAGGGGGTCATAACATGCGATTATCATAAATTCATGGTTTAAAGCACGCCAACCACTATAAAAGGCACACTTGTTATTGTGCATTTTCCCTTAACGTGTGGGTGCATAGCAAGTTCGAAAACATTACAAGCGCACAGTTGGCCGTGGTTTAAAACATGCTACCCATTACACAGAATGCAGCTGTATGCGAAAGCTTCACTGCCACAAGCCATTTTGAACTCGGTAGGCACTAGGGACAGGATATTGCTATTGCATTCAACTTTTGAAGGGGGAGCTTAAGGGTTCTCCAGTTTTTACTATTGCAATTATATATACACACACACACACACACACACACACACACACGCACACGCACACGCACACACACACACACACACACACACACACACACACACACACAAGAGAAGATGCAAGAGAGGATGCGGTGCTGCCTAATCACATGAAATATCAGCACAATGATGTTATCCAATACTACATTGAAAACACATGGGGCTGATCTGTAAAGTATATGACAGGCAATCTAGCATGCTTCATGCAGCCTTGTAGGACTTACGTAAGTAGATACATTTCAATTTTCTCGCGCCGTACTTTAGCCAGCTCAACGGCTACAATGCAAAAGCTTGTCCCTGAACTATGGTCACTGCCAATGACTCAAACATGTTAACAGGTCCAGATTTACTAGAGGCAGCACCATGAGGCAAACTGAACTCGACTCGAACAGCTCATTTATAAGTTGTTATAAGTATGTCTGCCCCTGTTTTCTGCTGAAAAGCCTTTTCAGAATGTGTAACCAACCAAAAAAATGAAGCGAATACCTTTCTCACAGGAAGTGAGCAAATGCCCTCGAAACGACTAAATTTACAGAATGTTTGCATCGTGCACCAAAAGCCTAGCATTACTAAAATAAAGCGTTAACCACACAGTACTTCTTGCCTCGTGCATGTGGCTAGGATAAGACACACAAACATAAAGAGTAAAGTGCCATAGACACTGCCTGTATATATTGTGCTCTTCTTTCCTCAACTTGTTCTATGCCATGCTTTCCTCAATCCTATTCCATGCCAAGAATAGGAAACATGCTGTTAGTAAAGTTAAAAATATTCTTTTCATTAGCTATGGTGCAGCAGTGGCATAACCGTAAAAATATTCACAAAATGCAGTGTCTACTATTAACTGTACCACTCTGCATTGGGATGGGACGTGGACATCATCTGGGGAAAATCGATCAGCGTGGGCTTGTCCTCGTTGTTCAGCATCAAGTTGAACTCATTGAAGTCTCCATGTATAAGGCCACAGTTGCCCAACTTAACAAGCAGGTCCATGAGCTCGTCATACAGCTGTGCTGGATTTCCAAGTCATGAACATGGCACCTAAGATAGAGAGGTTGACAGTTCACATTATTCAAATAAAGTAATTAGCATAAGCATGTCACCCCAAATTATAACAAGTCCATATACTTTTCATCTATGTTTCAGAGGAGGTAATTGTGCATCACATCAGCTATAAAACCACACAGTGTACTAAAACACTAGGCATGATGAGTGGTGCAGATGGTATACAGGTGGTTGGGGGCAGAAGTACCACACTTTGTTTTCAATATCACTTCTGTGCCTCTCTCAACTCAAGAGCACAAGAACCACAAGAACTACTAAAAGACTGTTTTTATGTTTTGCTTCAAACTCTAAAACAGAAAACTGATCATGTGCAGTTGCAGAAAGAGTATAGTGTTTCTAGCCAAGCTGGTTAGCAGTGGACGAAATAAACAGCAAGCAAGTAGCTGCAAGCATCAGAATATTCAAGAAGAATTTGAAAAAATTTAATGACAGAGTTTTAACTAGCAAATCGAGATATAATTATCAAGCATGACTGAACGATAAGACACAAAAAATTTCTGAATGTCAATCTATTACACAGTAAGCTTAATGTACAATTAAAATCATGGTTAATAGTATGATACCAATGCATCAAGATCAGTTAGGGATCCCTCCCTGTTTGGTACAATTAAAATCAACTTCAATATTGTCAGTAACAATACATCTAGATGGGCTAGGCTACCTTCCCGTTTGTAGCAACAGGTGTCACATATCAATAGGCAAGACTTGCATTACCTTCATCACCACCAAAACGTTCCAACTAATGCCCATATACTACAGCATCATGATTTTGCTACTTGAATCCCAAAATTTAGTTTCCCAAAAAAAAAAGAACTCGGACCATCTCTCGATAAAGGGAACCACGAGTAGATGTGAAGCAGCGGGCACTAATGCCTACACTGGCGGCGACGTTGACGCTGGCGCTCATGAAGTGAAGGCCGAGTAAAGACGACCTTGACTGAATTGCGAACGTGCAATTCAATGCCTACATATACGGGGTGACCAGTGAACGGTTGTGCAGTATGAGCAGTCAGTTTTTTTACTAGCAGACGCTGCCTGCGTTGGCCTTGCGAGGTGAGAGAGGGAGGGGAGCAACAGTTTTGCGGGTGTCTTCCTGGGCCAGCACGAGATGCGAGACGTGAGCAAGCGCAGTGAGGGTTTATGGAGGGACAGTGTTACACAGGCTAGTCAAATAGCTGCTTTGCATCTAAACTTAGCCATTTAAACTTGGCCAGTGAAAGCCAGCATTAGAACGACTACCATCCCAAGATGCCAACAACCAATGAATAGTTTACATCACACAATGATTTGCCCTTTTCAGTCTGACTACACAGCCCTATTTGCAATAATAATTCATTTCACTTGCACAGCTTGGAGCAGCAATTAATGTGACATAGGTATTTCTGCCATTCTGGAGAGTGCACATATCACAGAACAAATAAAAAAAGTGGGTAGTTCAATGATGGCCTCCAATCCGTTGTATTGTTGAGGAGTCGCTTGATAAACAGAGGATAGCAAACACGAAGCAACCATTTCGAAGTCAACATATTTCTGTCTTTCATAGTTATGCAGAGCTACCCTAGAGTGATGGTGACGGCTAATGAGTGAATAGGGTTTCATTCCATTCTATGAAGATAATGTTTTTCTGTTTTTGCCTTTTTTTACTGTAAGTATTATCAGCTGTTTTGCTATTGCTAAGCCATCATGAGTGCATTCAATTTTTTCACAGTTCAGGTGCTTTACTGTTATTTCAAGGTCAATATTCTACTTCAGATCCAGAAAATATCATACGAGTTTATGTATGATGCGAGAATGTTCATAGTGTGAAGAAGAAGATGTGCCTGCAGCGAGCAGCATCGCCAACGCCCGGCTCTCTCGGCTCGTGCTTCGGTTCGTTGCTGTGCCGATCGTTGGACGGTTCTTCACGCTGTCTCGTCGCTGTCTTTAACGGCTAATAAACCTCCTCACATTGGTGGAAGGTGCTGTTAATCCCCGTTGCTACACCCTGGAGCTACGAAGCCGCACGCTACCACCTGTCATGACTGCCAACGCCACTACATCGACGCCTTCGCTCCAGTTCAACTGCCCTGGCCATCCTAGGCTACGGGAGCCAAAGGTCTTCAGCGGTGCGGATGGGACCGACGTCGAAGACTGGCTCGAGCACTACGAACTGGTGAGCGCCAACAATAAGTGGGATGAAGCCGACAAGCTGGGCCACGTGATATTTTATCTCACTGGCGTCGCCGAATTGTGGTTTAATAACCACAAACCCAACATCCCCACATGGAGCGTCTTCAAGACGTCATGTGCTGAAGTGTTCGGTCGGCTGGCTGTCCGCAAGCAGAGGGCAGAACAGCGCTTGCGCATCCGCTCTCAGCAGACTGGCGAGACCTTTACCAGCTATATTGAGGACGTCGTCGACCTTTGTCGACGTGTGAATGACACCATGCCCGAATCTGACAAGGTCAAAAACATCCTGAAGGGCATCGACGACGGCGCATTTCAAATGCTCTTGGCAAGGAATCCAAGCACAGTTTCCGAAGTCGTCAGCTTGTGTCAGAGCTACGACGAGTTAAAGAAGCAACGCACTCTGACTAGGCAGCCTCAGCCCGGTGGTGAGTCGCTGTCCAGTTTCGACTCCATGCCCGACAATTCACCATTGCTCCAGCAAGTCCGAGCCTTCGTCCGTGAGGAAGTCGCCTGCCAACTTTCCCTAGTGCCCTTTACTCACGAGACCACCACCCGTCTACCTGCCCCGCTTCGCACTGCTATATCGGAAGAGGTTGCACAAGCTGTTCCTCTTGCGCACTAAGAGCCACCTCTATCTAGCCGTGGTCACTGCCCGGGTGTCGCACAGCCGGTAGGCGCTCCTGTCGCCTATCCGCCAGCCGTTCAGCCTGTGGCCGCACCCCTAACCTATGCAATGCAGCCTGTGGCTCCTCCTGTCGCCTTTTCGCAAGAGATGCAGCCCGTAGCCACCCCGCTCACATATGCAGACGCTGTACGTAGGCTCCCGCAACCACCCTACACCACGCGCTCACAGCCCGCACACCCGGCTGCTTATACTGCACCTTGGGCGGCAGCACCAGTCGCCAATCCCTGGAGGACGCCCGATAACCGACCGATTTGCTACGCTTGCTTCACTCCCGGACACGTTGCTCGCTACTGCCGCCGTCGACCTCAGACGTTCCGCAACTATGCCCGGTCGTCGCATCCCAGCAGCCAACCCTTCGTCCAATACGGGCTGGTCTTGCCACCTCGCTATGCGCCTACTGACCACCTTTACTTCCAGCCGCAACGCGCACCCTCTCCTCGTCGGCGATCGCCCTCCCCCATGCGTCGCCGGCCCGGACCCTCCGACCAGGAAAACTAAGCAACGCAGTTCAAGAGGCAAGAACTGCGCCGTTTTCGAACTGTCTAAGCCCTCGCTCCTCTCCTGCTAACGTGGTCGCAGTAACTGTTGAAGGTTATTGTACTTTCGCCCTTGTGGACACTGGCGCAGCTGTTTCTGTTATTGCCGCTAATCTCTGCCGTTTATTACGCAAAGTAACGACGCCGCTTTCGAGACTGTCGCTTTACACCGCAAGCGCACAGCAAGTAACGCCTCTCGCAGCCTTCACTGCAAGAGTCTCCATCGAAGGCATTTTTTACATCGTGGAGTTTATTGTTCTTCCTGTCTGTTCGCATGACGTCATCCTCGGGTGGGACTTCCTATCCCGCCATAATGCCGTCATAGACTGCGCACGCGCCTTGAGTTTTCACACTTGTGTGATGTCCCATTACTGGACGCTCCTCATCAGTCGCCGAAGTTGCTCGTCATGAAGATACCGATATTCCGCCTGGAAATTTCGCCCTTGTTCCCGTTTCATGCAACGCCTACACTGACGCTACAGTTCTTTTTATGCCTTCCGATATCTTCAAATGTCGTCGAGCTTTGCCGCTGCCTTTCGCAACAATTGACCTTGCCGCCGGAAGAAGCAACATGTTCGTAAGCAATTCGCTTTCCACACCTGTCAAATTGCTTGCGGGGGAATGTCTCGGCCGCGTGCAGGACCTCGCCCTTCGTTTTTGTTTGATGTCCCGGACGACTACTGCGACCACCCAAAAGCACTGTCGGCACTCGGGGAGTCGTCCACTGATACGTTTTCCAGCGCCATCGCCGACACTCTCACTCCCACCGAACATGCCGACCTGCTGGATCTTCTGCATGAGTTCAGGAGTTCGTTCGATGTGTCGCAACCTCAACTGGGCCGCACATCACAAGTCAAACATCATGTTGACGCCGGCCTACACCAGCCAATGCGTCAAACACCATACCGTGTCTCCGCTGAAGAGCGCCGCGACATCAACGATCAAGTCGAAGATATGCTTCGTAGAGAAGTCATTCGACCATCTCACAGTCCCTGGGCGTCTCCCGTCGTCCTGGTGCGTAAGAAAGACGAATCTCTCCGATTTTGCGTGGACTATCGTCGTTTGAATAAGATAACCCGCAAGGACGTCTATCCTTTGCCGCGCATTGATGATGCCATTGACACCCTTCACGGAGCAGAATTTTTCTTGTCGCTAGATTTGCGGTCTGGCTACTGGCAGGTCCCAATGGCAGAAGCCGATCGCCAAAAAACGGCATTTATTACACCAGACGGACTATATGAATTTAACGTCATGCCCTTTGGGCTTTGTAACGCGCCTGCCACGTTTGAACGTTTTATGGATAATACGCTACGTGGCCTCAAATGGAATATGTGCCTCTGTTACCTCGACGATGTCGTGATTTTCTCCCATGACTTTCCTACGCACCTCCTTCGCCTCAGGCACGTTTTGAGTTGTCTGACCAACGCTGGTCTGCAGCTTAACCTGAAAAAATACCGCTTCGCTGCACGCGAGCTCGTCATCCTAGGCCACATCGTGTCCAAGCACGGCGTATTACCAGACCCAGCAAAACTTCGAGCAGTCGCAGAATTTTTCAAGCCGACGACCATGAAAGAACTTCGCAGTTTTGTAGGCCTATGCTCCTATTTCCGGCGCTTTGTTCGCAATTTCGCATCTATCATGTCACCGTTAACCCAGCTTCTTCGCAGTGACGTGAACCTCACCTCCTGGTCCCCTGCATGTGACGTTACCTTCACTACTCTGCGCCGTCTGCTCACTTCCCCACCTATTCTTCGCCACTTCGACCCAACGGCTCCTACCGAAGTGCACACCGACGCCAGCGGCGTCGGGCTAGGCGCGGTCCTCGCTCAACGAAAGCCCGGCTATTCAGAATACGTTGTAGCCTACGCTAGCCGCACTCTGACGAAAGCCGAAACTAATTACAGCGTGACAGAAAAAGAGTGTTTGGCTCTGGTGTGGGCGCTTGGAAAGTTCCGGCCGTACTTATACGGCCGCCCGTTCGATCTAGTAACTGATCACCACGCGCTTTGCTGGCTCTCCACGTTGAAAGACCCTTCTGGCCGCCTTGCGCGATGGGCACTCCGCATCCAGGAGTACGACATTCGCGTCGTATACCGCTGCGGACGCAAACACTCTGACGCTGATGCCCTGTCCCGCTCACCTTTACCACCAGATCAGACGTGCGGAAACACTTGCCTCCAGACCTTGTCATCGCTAAATCTCGGCTCGATTGCCACCGAACAACGTCGTGACCCGTGGATCGCCTCTCTTATCGAATATTTATCTGGCACGCCCAACCTTCCAGTATTTCGATCCCTCCGACGTCAAGCTTTCCATTTCGCCATCCGCGATCAACTTCTTCATCGACGCAACTACGCTCCTGATGGCCGCCGGTGGTTGCTGGTCATTCCACGCACCTTACGATCGCAAGTATGCGCCTCCCTTCACGACGATCTGCAATGTGGCCACGCCGGAGTGTTCAAAACATATGAACGCCTTCGCCATCGCTATTACTGGCGCGGCATGTACAATTTTGTACGTAAATTCGTGCAGTGCTGTCCTGACTGCCAGCGACGTAAATCAACACTGCCACGTGCGACTGGCGCATTGCAGCCACTTCCATGCCCTGCCAAGTCATTTGATTGCGTCGGCGTTGACCTCTACGGTCCCCTTTCATTGACACCAGATGGTAACCGGTGGATTATAGTGGCGGTTGACCACCTGACACGCTACGCCGAAACAGCCGCTTTGCCGAGCGCTACAGCTCAGGATGTCGCCTCTTTCATTTTGCAACGCCTTATCCTTCGACATGGTGCACCTCGAGAGCTCCTTAGTGACAGAGGCCGCGCTTTCCTTTCCGAGGTCGTCGAAACTCTGCTTTCGGAATGCCACGTCATTCATCGGAAAACGACAGCATACCACCCGCAGACTAACGGACTAACGGAACGGTTCAACCGCACGCTAGGTGATATGCTCTCAATGTACGTGGCATCTGATCATAGCAAGTGGGACCGTGTTCTCCCATACGTCACATTCGCATATAACACCGCAATACAAACCACCACGGGATTCTCACCTTTCTTTCTTCTTTACGGACGTGAGCCTTCCCATACAATTGATACCCTACTTCCTTACCGTCCTGATGCTTCCGAGTGTCCACCTATCTCCGATGCTGCTAGACAAGCCGGAAAGTGCCGCCAGCTCGCCCGTGCGTTCACTTCGGAAGAGCAACAACGCCAGAAAGAAACCCGTAGCACCTCTCTTCCGGATCCCAGCTATGCCCCAAGGTCTCTTGTGTGGCTTGCCATCCCATACCAAACACCGGGACTCTCCTCGAAACTTGTCCCCCGGTACGAGGGGCCTTACGCCGTTTTGGAGAAAACCTCTCCGGTTAATTTACTGATTGAACCAGTTTCCCAATCGGACGACATGCGCCGGCGTGCACGTGACATCGTCCATGTTTCCCGACTGAAACCGTACCATGAGCCTTTGCCTGAAACTTCTTAAGTCACCAGGATGGCTCCTTTTTCAGCGGGGGCAATTGTGAAGAAGAAGATGTGCCTGCAGCGAGCAGCATCACCAACGCCCGGCTCTCTCGGCTCGTGCTTCGGTTCGTTGCTGTGCCGATCGTTGGACGGTTCTTCACGCTGTCTCGTCGCTGTCTTTAACGGCTAATAAACCTCCTCACAATAGATTATAAATTTTTCAGTTTCTCAAGTGAGGGGGGCCATGTTTTTTTTTTTTTTTTTCTCTCTCTCTGTGCCTGCATCTGTGTGTAAGTGCGAAATTACTACGCGACTTATATTCAGGAGTACTTTAAAGGCCAAGCCTTACGACCACCTGTGCGACAAGTCGGCGCTATTCTTCCCGTCAATGCCAAAGTCGTACCAGCCGGTGATGCAAAGGAAGGAAGAAGGTCGACAGGTGATTGATAAGCAGCCAGGCAGTAGAAAAGGGAATACGACATATAAAATTTTTGGAGAGTCTGACTTTTAATTTGGTAATTTTAACAGAACTGTACTCTCTAAAATGCCGGTACCACAATGTCACTGTGAAGCACTCTAGTGGGAGACTCCAGATTAATCTTTATCCCCTGGGGAGCCCCTTGTTTCGCTTATGAAACATAGCACATAGGAAAGAAAAAAAGTGTACATTTAAGGGCTAATTTTTCTTTGTTGGACACAATATTAGTGAGACCTAACAGACAACCATGCCAAGGAAAGTATAAGGAATGGTATAAAAAGTAACTGTAATGTAAATATGAAGAAAGAAAATTGGACAAAAAAGATAACTTGCCGCAGGCAGGAACAGAACCTGAGACCTTCAAGTAACGCGTCTGGAGTAACACAACCGCTCTCTTACCAACAGGCTTTTGCTTCAAAGCAGAGTCCCTTTGTTTTCCCCCCAAAATTATTTAGTTGATGAGTAATCTTGTTTGATTTATATGTGGGGTTTAACGTCCCAAAACCACCATATGATTATGAGAGACGCCGTAGTGGAGGGCTCTGGAAATTTCGACCACCTGGGGTTCTTTAACGTGCACCCAAATCTGTGCACACGGGGCGTACAATATTTCTGCCTCCATCGGAAATGCAGCCCCCGCAGCTGGGATTCGATACTGCAACCTACGGGTCAGCAGCCGAGTATGTTAGCCACTAGACCACCGTGGCGGGGCGAGTAATATTGTTGCTGTTTGATGAAGGAACTGATAGTAAAACTTTTTACTGACCAACCAAAAATAAGTACTATCTTCATTTTTTTGCCCACTATAGGCAGGTTGAACGAGCACCCATTCATAGACATCCCAAGAAACTACACTCTTTTTTCTCAGCGATACGCTCTGTGAAATTATTCATTGACTGACTGTATAAAGAATGCTTTTGGTTCTCAGCATTTCAGTTTTCTTGGAACAAACAGGTGTCCCTGTGTGATTCAAGACTTTCTTTAACTTATCATAGGTGTAAAGGGGACTTTGCTTGTTCAGCCAGGAAACATAGTCCACACCTATATATGCATTTGAAGGGCATTTCCCACTGAACGTTTTAGTTGTCATTAGCCTAAGATCCAAATCTCAAAATGCCTGAAATGAAAAAAAGCAGGAATAAACAGGCCCCTGTGATATAGCTGTCAGACAGAATGGCCAACAGTCTAATGTCGATGGGTAGAGACCCAAGCCAAGCACTTACGTAAATAGCAAATCTCAGCCAGCACCCCATCAAGCCCTGGGGAGAGGAGGAATGCAATATTTATTGCCTTCCCCCATAGTTTAAACTTATGTGGACATATTCTCGTGGGGCTAGAGCATGGTTTCTCAAAGTGGGTTTTGCAGGCCCCTCCTCAGAGCTCAGCGAGCCACTGATGGATTTTCCCTCGTACTATTCTCACCAAGCCCCTTGGATAGTGATGGTGCAATCGATTGATCTAAGGAACCTCCATTACCCACGGCGGAGTTTCAGTAAGCTCATCTCAGTCCATAACAGAAAACGTACAGGCTGTGCAATGAATTCCACCAGCAGCTTGTAGCAAGCCAGACTTCGAAAACTGGCCGTGTGGTTCCTTTATCTGCTTGATAAGGCAGTGGGCATGCTGCTGCTATTTACAACAACATACGCTTGTGAGCACGTATTCTTGACACTAGCCTATCTGATCTGAAAAAAAAAAAAATAGTAAGCACCGGAATAATCTCAATCCCGCAGCTAACATCTGGATGGCCCTGTGTGTGACTGGGCCTTGCATTGATTTGTTGGTACAACATAGTCGCATGTCATTGACATATTTTTGGAAATATATTCTTTCTTTCGAGCTTACTGCATCTGACTTCAGGGCCCATTTAATTAAATTTGAATATAAAACACTTACAATGGGTGTCCATTGATGAGTTCCATAAGGATGCAGTGACGATTGAAGCCCACTGGCTCAGGTACTGGAAACCCTCTGTCATGAAGGGCCTGAAAGGTCAGTACATCCAAATATATATAGCTGTTTCTATCTATATGAGTTCATTTCATTAAAAGCTACTTTAGTAGCTAAGTGACCATGCAATCGCATTTTTTAAGGAGGAGCTTGATCAGATTGTCCCAACACAAGATATTGCACGTGCCCACAAATTAGGAAAGTACTGAGAGGGAAAGAACTGACCGATAATCATCTCATTTTCTAGATTTAAAGTTAGGGAACAAATTTTGTATTCCAGATCAAGGCTGAAGGATAAAGACTATGTAATTCGCGAGGATTTCGCTACTTCTACTAGACGGGTGTTCTATAAGTTGACTGAATATGCTGAAGGTCTGAAACACCCTTTCAAGCTATGCTTAGATAAACTTTATATGGGAAATAAAACTTTTGTCTATGACACTGCAGAAGATAGGGTGACGGAACTCAAGAGATAGCTACGTGACAAGCAATTTGCCAATTAAAAAGCAGCAAGTGCAAATTCTAAACGTGTTCCTCCTCGCAACTTATCTCTAACTATACTGCTGGTAAACTGCCGCAGCCTCAAAAATAAAGTGGACGAATTCACTACTTTGTTGACTACTATGCAACCTTCCATAGTTCTATAATTGGAACTGAATCTTGGTTACATGATTCCATTGCTAACTTTGAAGTCTTTCCTCCTGGTTACGATGTATACCAATCTGATAGAAACACACAAGGTGGCGATGTTTTTATACTTATCAATGAACTTCTTCAGAGTAGTGAACTGTCCACTACTTTTCATTATTCAGAATCCGTTTGGTGCAAGGTCCGACTTAACAATGGAAATTGCTTTGCAGTTGGTTCCTTCTACCAATCCCCTAGCTCGACTAACCCAGAATTATTCATGATTTTTAAACATAATAAACTGCTACTTTATTCTTGGAGGAGACTTCAATATGCCTCTGGTTGCCTGGAATAATGGTAAACCTGTGTTCTCTGACTCGAGTTCACTGTCCTCTTCTTTCTTAGAGCTTGTCACGACAAAAGATCTGACTCAATTCGTATCTGAGTGCACTAGACAAGGTCACTCTTCCGCCAGCATACTGGATTTAATTTTCGCAAACTCTGAGTCGTTGCTGCATGATATGGTTGTCATCCCAGGTATTAGTGACCATGACTGTGTTGTTGCCACTCACACTAACACATCATCAAGATCAGCCCACAAACAACCTCGAAAAGTTTATTTTTATGACCGAGGTGACTATGCGTCTTTATCTCAAGAACTTCGCCTTTTCTATCCTGAATTCTGTGAAGTGGCCGAGTCGATCAACATTGATAAATTGTCGTCTATTTTTCGTGATAGATTGATGAATTTAGTTGAAGAGTACATCCCTTCTAAACTCGTAACAAGTCGACGCCGCAATGACAAACCATGGGTAAACAAGTAAATTCAAACCTTAATTAGCAGGAAACGCCGCCTTTATGCTGCATATTTAAAAAATTGCAAACAGAGTATGTTTGAAGAAGTGCGTGATATAGGCTACAAAATAAAACACTTAATTAAAGTAAATAAGGAGATATACATTTCTTCGCTCGATGTAGCTCTCAAAAATATTCCTAAAGAATTTTGGAAATTTATTAAAGTGAGTAAAGAGGTGAACGCGATACCAAATCTTTTAGTCAACGGAAAATCAGTGTTTGACAATTACGAAAAGGCTTGCTCTTTCACTCGTATTTTAAATTCGTGTTTTCCAAAATGTGCGCTAAACAACTTCCCGTGATTCCAGATTTACCCTACGAGAATATGCCCATGGTCACTGTCACGTACAATGGTGTTCTTAAACTGCTTTGCCGTGCAGATGGCACGCGAACAGGTGTCATGCATTAGCAGGCTTCCGTGTCTCCGTCCCAGAAGAAACTTTGGTTCCTCGAAGATTTTGGTGAGCACAAGTAGTTATATTACCTTTACTTTTCTGTTTCGTTTCCTTATAGAGTTTTCTTTGCCTTTTTCTGTGCTTTTGTTTTTTTTAGTTTTTTGTTTCTTCCCCTTACTCATGTTTTGCTCTTTGTGCCATATGGTTTTTGTCACATGGTTACTGTCTCCTCTATATATTTTCACGCTCTGCGCAATAAACTCAGTTGGAAGTTAGCGCTCGTCTCCTTCGCGTCCTTCTTGTCTCTGTGTCAGCATCTTGTTCTTGCGCTATAACTACCATCATGCCATACCAACTAGCCCAAGCTGTCACACTTCTGCTTAGTAACCTGAAAAACAATTCAACTGGAGGTCCTGATGGCATACCAACCAAGGTAATCAAAGCATGTCCTCAGGAAATTGCTAATTTCTCAGTCGTCTTGTTCAATAAATCTCTACACAGTAGTTCTGTACCAACACAATAGAAAACGGCAGGAGTTGTTCCCATTCATAAAAGTGGTCCCAAACATTGGTATGTGGGGTTTAACGTCCCAAAACCACCATATGATTATGAGAGACGCCGTAGTGGAGGGCTCCGGAAATTTCGACCACCTGGGGTTCTTTAACGTGCACCCAAATCTGAGCACACGGGCCTACAACATTTTTGCCTCCATCGGAAATGCAGCCGCCGCAGCCGGGATTCGAACCCGCGACCTGCGGGTCAGCAGCCAAGTACCTTAGCCACTAGACCACCGCGACGGGGCGGGTGTCCCAAACATTCTATTTAAAACTATAGACCGATTTCGCCAACTTCTGTATATTGTAAAACTTTAGAACATCATTTATAGGCTATGATGAAACACCTCGAAAACAATGGTTTTTTTTCACCTGCTCAACATGGGTTCAGGTCTGGCTTGTCCTGCACAACGCAGTTGGTTGAATTTTGCCATGATCTTTTTTACTCCTACGATTGAGGATTTCAGGTTGATTGCATTTTTTTAGATTTTAGAAAGGCCTTCAATATTGTTTTTCATGATTTGTTATTGCATAAACTATTATCACTCTGTATTCATCCGGCAATAGTTGTTTGGATTAAAAATTGTCTTTTCGGAAGAACACAGCATGTTATAATTAACGGCTTTACGTCAAATGGAATATCAGTTACTTCAGGCGCGCCGCAAGGATCTGTCTTGGGACCTTTGTTATTTTTTATTTATATCCATGATATTGTGCAGGGTCTTCAATGCAATATCAGATTATATGCAGATGACTGCATCATTTATAGGAACATAATAAATGAACACGATGTCATTAGCCTACAAAACAATTCAAACACAATTCAAACTTTGTGTTCCACATGATGTATGTCTTTGAATAGTACTAAATGTCAATTTATATCTATTACCCACAAACGTTTGCCTGTGAGATCGGATTATCCTTTGGACAACATGTCACTTGAAGGGGTACAGCATTACAAATACCTTAACGTTTAATTTTTGGAAAATTTGTCATGGACTAGGCATCTTGAACATGTTACATTAAAATCTTCCCAAATGCTTAACCATATTAGACGCAATTTTCACAAAGCCTCCAGGAGCATTAAAAAATACCTTTATGATACGAACGTTCGCCCGTTACTCGAGTACGCTTGCGCAGCATGGGACCCAGACACCCTCTGTCTTGTAAATAAACTTGAATGTAACCAGAATCGCGCAGCCAGGTTTGTCTCTCGTAATTACAACTATAAAAGCAGCATCTCATTAATAAAAGACAACCTTGGCAGGAAAACCCTAGCCCAACGCCACTTAGCAACGAAATTGGAACTTTTTTCCGTATTTACTCTGATCTCACAGGTATTAACAAAAACTTGTACATTTTTCCCCCTCACTTCATCTCTACGCATTGTGATCATAACTGTGAAGTACTTGAAACGCAATGCCGCACAAATGTGTTTTATTATTCTTTTTTCTCACACCTCCACGCTTTCGAACAGACTTCCTAAAGGTATAGCAGATTGTAAAACACTCTCCTAGTTTCAGTCGTATTTACATTCAAATTTCCTGTGAGCTATAAGCTAGCTGTCCCCTGGATTTTGTTTGTGATGCCTTTTATTTACTTTTTTCTTTTCTTCTTTTGATTAGGATGTCTTTTATTTACTTTTTTCTTTTTTTTCGTTTGATTAGATTGTGCCTGAATTATATGTCGTCACTTTTTATTATTTCCTACACCACTTTATTAGCTCATTTTTTTATCTTTCTCGTTGTGTAAACATGTATTCTTTTACGTGATTATTTTTTCTCCTGTTACCCCCCTGCAATAATGCCCTCGTGGCGCTGCAGGTACTGGTATAAAAAAGCGACACAGGTCGGACAGGAATGGGTCAAGTATGAAATGGATGCCCAAGGGCTAACAAGAAAAGGGAGATATCCACAAACCTTCATGAATGCATACTCCTTCACAGCAGCCAGTCTCGACAGGTAGATCCAAGAGGCCTTGTTGCGATGCTTGTGGTAATCTCGCTTTTCTTTAAGCTTTCGGAAGCATACTCGGCCCAACCTGCACACAATGGTAAGGTGAATCCATAAATAAAAACAGAAAGAATAGGCAAAACAAAGTCTGCAAATACCTGCTAGCACAACTAAACCACTATGCTTGCGGCAAAACTCGCTTGGTCAGCGAGAAAACGAGCAAGAAAAAAAATGAGGGGGCTACGCCACCTTAAAACCTGCACACCAATTACCATGATGTTATAGATTTTGATGGCGTTACTATGGTCTACATAGTTCCTAACCGTTGAAAATGAAGTACATTGCCTTCCAAAGGGACCAGAAACTTGACATTCTAAGATTCAGTAAATTTTGTTGAGCCAATGTCGCAGATATATGAAAAATACACTACAAAATAGGTGACGTCAGGCGTGGAGACTTCAAAGCAAAATTTAAGAATGAAACGTTGGCCTTGATTTTCTCCTCTATTAATAAACTCATTATTGTGAAATTAATCTTGTGAAAGTTTTCCAAGCACAATTTATAAATCTAAATCGATTTATTGTTTCACTTTATCGTCCCTTTACGGCCGACTACATGAATACATGAAGGCCAACTACACGAAACTTTTAGTATGGTATCATCTATGACTTTGTATTTTTACATGGTTGGAATCTTCACTGGCACTAATTTATATTTCAGGCTTAAATATAGGTTCTTAGCAAGCTTGCATATTCTCTAAAAAGCTTTAGCTTTCTGCTAAAACAAATATTTTGTTAAGTTTGAATATCTGCTGAACATCAGTTCACATGAATGCAATGCATAAAATGATGATTAAAATGACTTGCCGGCTAATCTTGAGCACCAGGTCCCTTCCTTCTTCATTTGCTGCCACGTATATATCTAAACGAATATGCAAACAAACACATCATAACACCGCACGACTCTGGTTGCATACAAATTGCATTTACTAGCGCTAAGTCAATAACGTTGTGATTGTAGTAGCAAGATCGACAGTGCTGTGTCATTATGTCTGCTTTCAACATATTATTAATGAAGGAGCGAGTAAAAATTACATTGATGACTGGGTATGCCACTAATAAGCCACTGCTGTGTGAACGAATTTCTTGTAGCACTGTTCATGAAGTGACTTCCTGTTTGACCAGAATTCCGATGCATTGGCTGCGACAGACAGTGACCAAAAAGGTAAATCTTTTTGTCTGTCTTAACGGACACACTTGTACGTGTGGCAGATGTCCTGTCTCGGATACTTAGTACGGCATTCGAGCGCATGAAATGGGCCAGAATTTACCGTAACAAGAAAGAAAGGACGTACCAGATTCTTTTCCAACACCAATTTGGTTTCCGACGGAGTGCACCAATCCTTGCGAACAGAGAGTCTTCAGAGCAAGATAATCGTAGCCCATGTTCGTCAGCCGGTAACCATCGTCTGGCAGGAGGAATAAACAACTTCGATTAACAGTTCCCCACAAACTGAGCAAGGAGGCACTCTTAACTGCGGGCAACTGCTTTAGCGATGAATGTATTGCTTACATCTCTTGCCACGTTCGTAAGACAGCAGTTTCTGTTTGCACAGCTCTCGGAGGTGCTTGTGGCATCCTCCGTGTTTCAGGTTGGCAATCGTGGCCACAAGTGCTCCAGGCACAAGTTCGTGGTTCTTCATGCCCATTTCAACCTGTAAGTAAACTTTGATTGAGACTGGCGGAACTTTCATGCAGTGCAAGAGGCACGAAGCTAACCGAGGCTTGTCTTACGTCCAAGCCAATTTTTTTCAACCTGTTTCGGCACACGCTGATACTTGATTTTTTGTACTGCGGATTTATTTAGAGACAGAAACGACATAAAAGATGCAGAAAGAAATTCTTACCGCAGTCAAGACTCTGAAGTCGTCAGACGACATATATCGAAGCAAAGTAAGGTTTAGTTTTCCCATGTTGATTGAGGTTAGCACGTTTTGCCGCGCACTTACTACTGTTTATAAAACTGCGCTTAGTCGGCTCTCTGGTTAGCACAGCCTGTAAATACATTATGATCTACAATACGTGAAAAGTGGAGAAAACACCACGCTTCGGCGGCCCTGCACGCGTGATTGAGAAGAACCAAACAAGCTAAAGGGCTGAGGATTGGATTGGATAGTGTTGGAGGCATGGCTGGAAACAATCATTAGTATAAAAAATAATCTTATAAAATCTCCAGCTTCAATAAAACACATTTTCTTTTAACAATAAAATTATTTTAAATAGCAATTATATTTAAATTATTAAAAATGATAACAAAATTGGCCTTGCGTTAGTTGTTTTGACAGATCGCTTCATAAAAAATGGCAGCGCCCAGGTCATCGTTCTCTATGTAGTGGTTCAAACGTTTTTTCTAGGTACTCGAACTTTGGCCGTGGTTTTAGACATGGAATCGCGTTGCGAATGTGCTACTTCTACGACTAATGAGAGCCCTTCTTCGTTCTCCGGTCCGATTAACAAACGTGTTGTGCTCAAGTCTCGTCCTGGCGTCGATGGCGAGCCTCAGCTGAGCAACTTCGCTACGGAGCAGTGCGGTACACCGCAGGACTTCGCTGACGGAGAGGTCCTGGTTCGCAGCGTGTTCCTGTCCATCGATCCGGCCTTACGATGCCGCATGAACGAAAACACGGGCGTCCACTACCTGACGCCGTGGCTTATCGGTCGCTGCGTCGAAGGACTGGGTGGAGTCGGCGTCATCGAGCAATCGCACAGCCCGCTTCTCGAGAAAGGTGACATTGTCTGCAGAGCCATGTCGTGGCCCTGGCAGCTGTATTTCAAGACGACCGCCGATTCGCTGCAAAAATTGGACGTCAAAGAAGTCGGCGGCGATGTCTCTGTCGTACTGACGTGCCTCGGTCTGACGGGACTCACGGCTCTGCTGGGACTGCGGGAGAAGGGCGGACTCAAACCGTCCGCCAACCAGACTTGCGTTGTGTCCGCTGCTGCTGGCGCCTGCGGATCCCTAGCGGGCCAGATTGCCAAGCTAGAAGGCTGCAAGAGAGTGGTCGGCATTTGCGGCTCGTACGAGAAGTGCGACTTCTTGACCAACACGCTCAAGTTCGACGCGGCCATTAATTACAAGACTCAGGACGTGGACAAGAGGCTGACTGAGACGTGCCCCGGTGGCGTACAGGTAAGCAGAGCTACCTTTCATAGAACTTTTAATTAAAGCGGTTGGTGGCATGGTAACACGAAACAGCAGTATCGGCGCAACATTGAGCAACCGAAAGTCACGCACTTTCCCTTCTCGTCCCGATAAGCTGTGAAATATATACCGCGCGATTAAGTATCACCCGCTACAAAGTATCGCATAGTAATCATGTCAGTTTTGTCACTGCATCTCGGACTGCAACAATTTGCGCCTGCAGTACTGCGACTGCAATAATTTATTATAGTTGTAAACTATGTGCAATTGTCATCGTATAAGTTGTTCTGGAGGGCTGCGCCCTCCAGAACAGTTTATACGATGACATATCCAGGTTTTTATTCCTGAGAGGAGGGATACGACTTTCATATGCCTGCGATTGTGTGTGCAGACGTGTGTATGTACTATCAGCAACAAATGAAACCCGAGCAGCGTTAGGCCTTCGCGATTGTGTAGTGTGTACGGGCCGGAACGCGCATTCTGTTCGGCAGCACTGCGCACACATGCGCGCCTGTCCATGGTGATAAGTGGATGGCACGCACTATACCATCGCGAAGGCTTGCCGCTGTTCTGGTTTCATTTGAGGCTGATAGTACTACATCCAGTACAGCTCATCTTGGCAGTGGAACGAATTCTATGATTGCAGGGATACCTTGCAGCTAATTTGTGTCGGTTTCGCTTTCCCGCGGTGTTAATGTGTTTAGAAGGACACACGAACACAGACACACGTGTGTGTGACGGGGAGGGGGAATGTGAACTGGAGATGTATATTTCGATTGATTAGTATACGCTTCAGGGTTATGTTTCGAGCATATGCATAGCATAGGCTCGAAACAATCGCGCGGTATATATTCACAGCTTATCGGGACGAGAAGGGAAAGTGCGTTTGCTGCCGCACACGGACCAACCGACTTACGAGTTCCCGTAATAGTAGATAAAACAGCATTTATTTGAGCAAGGAAAATGATCAATAAATCTAGGTACTATTTCTTGGTGCGCCAGCAGGCGTGCGTTTCGGTGCTGTAGCTTCTACAGCACTGCCGAAATAATGTTACCCCCCTCGTGCAAAAAAAAATAAAAAAAATGTGGGCTCACATCGACGGGGTTACGCTTCTGAACAAAGCAATAGCGCATAGCAGTGCACCAAACCTGGAACACGAAGTCGCGTGTGGGTGCGGGGCACGAAAAGGTATACAGTACTTCGGACCTCCCGTGGCTACACCTTGCATCCCACCTCTGACCGTTGGGCTTCGCGTAAATTCTGAGCCACCTCCCGAGAGGCTTTGTCGCGGTAAAGTGCGAGACGGGCTTGACGAGGTCGATATTCACATTTGTGCCTCTGTTTCACTCTACTAACAGCGCATCACCAACTGACCCAAACTTCGACTCTCTTAAAGGCTTTTGCCGATATTTGATTCTGCCGGCATTAGTGTGCTTATTGTTTGACGCTTCTTTATTTACCATGCGCTTCTTTATCTACGTTCCTGCGAATGATGAGTAAATGTAGTAACAGAGTTTTTGTTCTCGTAAACAAGCTGAGTAAAATGAAATACTTAAAAAAATACAATAAAATCCCTAGCAAGCGCCCCCTCCCTCTTTCGGGAGATTTCTAGCATGCGCCCCATGCCCTCCTGTCGCTTTCTGTGTTTCAATCACAATTTTTTATTTACCAAATAAGTGCGAAGACAGTGAATCCATGCGTATTCAGAATTTGTTTTTTTATTGGAAGGGGGGGGGGGGGGGTACCATAGTTTATGTATGTTCGTACGTGCTTTTGTATGTGTACATGTAATATACTCTAGCGAAATTGAAAAATATCGTAGATTTGCAAAATGGTATTCAATAAAGCATTTCATTGGAAGCACGCGCAGCTCACCTCCGTCATCTTGAATTTTGATATGTGACCGAATAAGCCTGCTTTCCCCCTCGGGTTATCTTTCGCCGTGGTGTGTGTGTGTGTGCGGGGGGGGGGGGGGCTTACTTGATATTTCACAGTGGTTCATTCTAACTATTTACTGGCATTGACGGCAAGGAAATCATGGGGAAGGTTATTTGAAGTTTAAGTTGAAGTGTAATAATCATGAGGTAAAATAGAATTTATTTTAAAATACTTGCAACTCGGCACTGCACCTGCAACATAGGGGGGGGGGGGGGTGAAGCAACTGCGCCCACAAGAATGTGGTGTTCCTGCCCTGCACATGTGATAAACTGTGTTGCTAGCCGGTTTCTGCTAGAACCGCGGATATTCTTGGGGGATAATTTAAATAACACGTATATTAATAATTAAACGGCTATTGCTACACCCTGAAACATCAGGTTTCGCTGAACAGCGATGTCATGACTCCTAAGGTGATATAATAGGGTGTTCAAGTTGTCTAAGAGAACGGCACAGACGTGGGTTTATATATCAGAGGCACGCGGTGATGTTGACCGCTGACCTTAGTGACAGTGTGAATTTCCAAAGTGTAGACAGCGCTTCAGTGTTGAACTCATTTTTTTCATCTGTGTTCACGTGTGAAGATCATTCCAGAGTGCCAGAAGTTCCCGAGTTTGATTATACATTCATGGAACCTATTGCCGTCAGCACTGAAGGGATTGCGAATCTTATTGGAAAACTTAAATTATCAACTTCTTCAGGCATTGACAACATTAATTCTAAGGTGCTAAAAAACACGTCATTTTGCTCACGTAAAATCCTGTACCACATCTTCACGCAATCTTTATCAACAGGACAACTGCCGGCTGATTGGAAAATAGGTAAAGTAGCTCCCTTATTTAAAAGTGGCAATAGATACTCACCAGAAAATTATCGCCCCATATCACTAACATGCATTTGCTGCAAAATGCTTGAGCATATCATTTCTTCGCACATTTATTGTCATTTGGAAACCAATAACTTCTTTTTTGAGAATCAGCATGGATTTAGGCGAGGTTTTTCTTGCGACACCCAATTACTGGAATTTACCACTGATCTTCACTTCAATATGGATAATAATTTACAAACTGACTGCATTTTCCTGGATTTTCTAAAGCATTCGACCGCGTACCTCATTCCCGTCTGATTTCAAAATTAACACAACTTCGTTTAGATTCGCTAACCTTATCGTGGATCCGTAACTTTTTGTCTTTTCGAAAGCAGTTCACTCTGGTTAATACCTCTTCCTCTCCAATTTCCGATGTCACCTCCGGAGTGCCTCAGGGTAGCGTCTTGGGGCCACTACTTTTTCTAATCTACATTAATGATCTTCCAACTAATATTTCTTCGTCAATACGGCTTTTTGCTGACGATTGCATTCTATACCGTTCTATAACTAGTACCGATGACCACCTTGCTCTCCAAAAAGACCTTCATCTCATTAACAACTGGTGTGGTGCATGGCAAATGACTTTAAATTTATCAAAATGTAATGTAATATCCTTTAGTCGAAAAAAATTAACTGTGGAACTTGATTACTCCATAAATAATTCCAACGTGTCACGGTCGTCTTCGTATAAGTACCTCGGCGTTCATTTAACTTCTAATCTTACTTGGGCGGTACATGTAACCTACATATCTGCAAACGCATCAAGAACATTGGGATACTTACATCTAAACCTACGAAACGCGCCAAATAACGTCCGCAAACAAGCTTACTTAACCTTTGTTCGCCCACAGCTGGAATTTGCATCACCCATATGGTCCCCCTTCCAAGCCTATCTCATTAACCAGCTAGAAGCTGTGCAAAACAGGGCGGCACGGTTCATTTCACGTACTTACAGTCGCCCCTCGAGCGTCACACAAATAAAACATGACCTTTCATTACAGCATCTAGACATACGGCGCACAGTTGCCCTCCTGTCTTTGCTTCATAAATATATTCACGCATCCAGGCCACCACCCTTCCCACTAACGGCACCATCGCGCATGTCTAAACGACTTCACAATCAGCGAAGCATCACGCGCATCTTTGGAAAAACAAAATCATTCAATTCATCGGCTTTGCCTCGTGCCATAGCACTCTGGAATGACCTACCCGACGTCATTGTCAATTTAACTAATCATGAAAATTTTCGCGAGCAATTAATGATACATCTATCTCAATAGCATTGTATAACCTCCTTGAATTCTGTTTTTGTTCTTCGTGCTTTTTTTGCGGCTGGGAAATGCTTGTTGTTGCTTGAAGCCCCTCTTTGTCATTTGTGCAAGCACTGTTATTAGTTCCAATGTTATTACTTGCTTTGTATTTTTATTAGTTATTAGTTATTAGTTGCTCTGTAGTTGATTTGCTTTGTAGTTGCTTTGTATTGTGACAGAAGTATCACCCACTAGCATTCTTTCCTATGTACCCCCCTTACTCTATGCTCCGTAATAGAGCCTGTAAGGTATTTTTAAATAATAATAATAATAATAATAATAATAATAATAATAATAATAATAATAATAATAATAATAATAATAATAATAAACGCTTTCTTTTTTTTCTCGTCATCTTTCGAAATAAGTTCAGTTTCCGTGTACCAATCGTTACTCTTTCATTTATTTCATCTAGGTGTCCGATGCCACACACACACCAGTGCTACACTGAGAAGGCAGTCGGAAACAACGTTAGTCGAAAAGACGCTTTGCAGCGTCTCCCCACCCCCTCCTTTTTTTTTTCGTTTGCTTTTGTAAAGGCTTTCAGTCGCGTCCAAGCTTCTGAAAAAGATTTCATGTTTGCAATATCTATCTTCCTTTGCCGCAGAAATGCAAAAGCGTTGTCATCTGGTGTGCCAACATTGAAGGCTGCGTGTTTAGCCATCCGTATGCTTAGGCGTCAACGTTGCCTAGAGAGAACTGTTGCATTCTGCCTAATTGCGTCCCCCCCCCCCCCAAAGCTGCGGAGGGGAACGCATATCTAGGCATTTCAATCATCGCCCAATACTCTTACCGCAAGCGATGACGACGATTAAGCGTGATTGACATATACACATGCATTATTCCGGTGTCGCTTACCAGGAGATTCTTTCGCGCTCGCAGGTGTACTTCGACAACGTCGGTGGCCCCATCAGCGACGCCGTCATCCGGCACATGACTCCTGACTCGAACATCGTGTTGTGCGGCCAAATATCCGTGTACAACAAGAACGTTGAATACCCGCCGCCACTGTCCGAGGACGTGCAGAAGATCGTCCAAGAGAAGCGCATCAGCCGCGACCGGTTCCTGGTGCTCCAGTACCAGGACAAGTTTGACGGTGCCCTCGCCCATCTGAAAGCCTGGCTCAACGAAGGAAAGCTCATCGCGCGGCAGACCGTCGAGAGGGGCATCGAAAACGCGCCGCAAGCTTTCATCAACATGATGAACGGAAAAAATATCGGGAAGCAAGTGGTCATCGTCAGCGATCTTACAGAATCCGCGTGACGTGCTTCAAGCCCGAAGTAAGAGTCATCAACGTACAAGGCATCTGAGAAGACGCGACAAATCGCGTCTCGGGTATTGCTGGCAAGTATGCCGCATTTCCAGAGTCTGCATCGTGCTCTCTGGACTGCTCGGCCCTTAAAAAGAAAGTGGGAGAGGGGATTGTTTCCTGGGACCAATATAATTATGCTTCGACGGCACGTGCGATTCCTCACTGCGAATTCTCGCCGCTTTCCTGCATCTGCGCTCGCAGAAATAACCGCTTCAGCCTTTCGTAAGTTCTAGGCTCGTTGTGTATAATAAAACGTCGTATATAGGCTTGCTGGTTGCTTTCATGACTGCCATTTTTCGTTTGTACTGCACAAATGCGTGAAAATTACTGCTTCTCTGATTGTAGTATAAATTTCCGCAAGTGATACGGAGAGTCGTGGTGTAGGGAAATGTGACTGTCATTTTAGCACTAAACTTATCATAGGAATGGCTGTAACGCATGAGAACGTTAAGGCGCGGTCACGTTCTCTTAAAACATGAGGGCAAACAATGCATGTGCTTAACTCGAGAACGGAAGTCGTCGCATTCGTCACTCTAATCAGACGGTGGTCGCTTCGTTGTCGAGCTTTTTTCTTTCTTTTTGCATGCCGACCGTTGTCTTTATGACCTTATAGGCTATAGCCGTAGCTGATAATGGCGTCCTTGTGAAGGAGTTTGATTAGTCACTCTGCGAAAAGCTTTACAAGTCCGCAAACATGCTTGTATAAGTTCAGCGTGGAAAAAAGGTGGCGAAGATAGGAAAACTCGTGGTGTCCAATTAAACGATCGCCCGTCGTTTCCGCTTGGAGCTCGCACCATCTGGCGCCCACAAGCGCGTTCTCTGGCGAATCGCTCGCTTGCCGCACTTCGCTCGTAACGCAATACCCCCAGCACAAACTCCTCTCGCTCGATGCGGGCACAAGGCGTCTTTTCAAACCGATCCCGCCAATCCCAGAGCGTCGATGGCAACGATGCGCCGTCGGTTGCAAGCCCAAGATAAACACGCCGAACGTCACTGTCGCGGCGGCTTTGCTTATTGCACAAGGTGTGCGGGCAACCTGAATCCACTCCAAAACACGCCTCCCCCCCCCCCCCCCCTAGAGACACAACTCGGGCGCGCTGATAAAGAGCCGTGCGATAACGTGTATCCTTTGGCGGACTTGGCAGTCGCCGATGGGCGGATGACAAGCGCTGTGCCACGACGGTTGTTAAGCGCGTCGAACCCTCGTTCCTAGCCCTTGCAGAGGTACGCCAGAGAAGCTGTCATAGACGTTACTCCCGAACCACGATGGCTGCTGGAGTGACTCGCAAGGAGATATGTTTTATAGCGGTCGTCCTTTGCTGTGCTGTACCTGTCGCTACTGCCTCAGCCAACTCGACCGGTGAACAGGTGAGTGGCGTCGGCGCACGCGCTTGGCACACGTCAGGGCCCGCCTAATCTCTACAACGGGCTCGAGTTGCATGTTTGTAAGTGTACGCCACGTGATGAATAGCCTCGGAAGTATCATTCCCGGAGTTTAGGCCGTATCACAATATCTACATTAAGCACCACACGATTGACTAGAACATGGCGGCGGTACAGTTTTGAACTCGCAGCTCTGCTCGGCAAGTCCTGCACGTTCACAATTCGTTAGGCGTACTGACGTTAGGTTCATGCGACGAACACTTGCTGAGCCTTTCTCATTCACGTTGTCTTAGTTTTTACGGCAAACCGATTCTTGCCCCGTAACCTGACGGAAGGTTAAAAGTATGTTGGAGATTAGGCTTTTTTTGGAGAGCGATGAGTTATCGGCTTCATCAAACGGCGTCGTCGTCTTTGATGTTTACCGAGCGTTATTCACGATAAGCAGAGCGGAACTGTTCGCAGACAGCTACGTGGTTTTCGTTCTCGCTTGCTGAAGGAGCAACACGACTGACGCTTTTAAAGCTGTGTTGAACGGTCAACAAGCTACTGGCAGGCACCTTAGAAACTCGGCGATGTGTAGATACCTACTTGCGCACTGATCCTTGACACGTCCCTGCCGAGCACGTGGCATCTCTGATTCGTGCCGTGGAATGGGCCGATAAGGAATCAATGTGAATAGGTGGCATTGTCTAGCACTCCGGCCATTCCATGAAGGAAGCGATGGCAAAGAATTGAACTACCACAACGGTGAACGTCAGTTTTGCAAGCAGCTGTCGAGAGGATACGGAGCTGAGGACACGCTGAAACGTCCGTCGAATGTTGGTTTGCTCGCAACACGCAGAAGGTTGCGTTGTATACCTCAGGCGGCGAGAAATATATTGCCACAGAGACTGTTTACAATATCCGACATTATGAAGAATTCAGCGTCCACAGTCTTGTGCGCACTCTTGCTTGGGGCCACACGACTCATGCCTCTTGTTCACAGGCACGAGCCAGTGTGGATTGGAGCTGCGAAGAGAAGGTGCGTTGGCAGATGAACAGTTTTTGTGTTGGAACGCTCTAGCGGACTCTTCCATCTTTTCGCACATAATTTTCAGGGCACAAGTTCGCCCATAATAAACTAGTTTTTGACTTTTCTTCTCTTGCACCCGTTACAATATGATTAGGGGAGAGAGGATCCCCAAGTCCTACGAACATGAAATACGGGTCTTACTTCAGAAATCAGTAAGTTGAATTCCCAAATGGGCAACACTGAGAAAATAGAAGTTAAGGACAATACCTTCATGACGGTGTTAAGCGCCTTCAAAATACGTTTATATGCAAGTGACATCATTGTAAAAGATGAACGGCAGCAGGGCTCGCAGTGTACGTAACCTGCAGTGTAAGGAACCCTTCGTTATACAGGAAACTTCGTTTTAAAGGTTGTCGACTGATATATAAATCTCAGCATGCCGTCGTGCACCCAATCGTAATGCGCAAACTGTTTTGTTCACCTTCAAAAACCAAAGTACACTTCCGTGCAATTCAAGATAGAAAAAAAAAAACGTGACATTACTAAAACGTTATATGCGAAAGCGTTGGTTCATTGCGACTTTGCGAGTTTCCTTCTTTTTTTTTAATTTCCAATCTTTATAAATTTATTAGGTCCCCCATGAGTTTCACCAAGCACTTCTTCGTTGTCATTGTCTGATGATTTCCAGGCTGTTGTGCAAAGAAACCGCCTCATCTTCATATTTTATTTTTATTTATTTCAATATACTGCAGACCTTCTCGGTCCAATAATGAGTGGTAATACAGAAAATAATTACAATTATGTCTAAAGTGACAATCACATTAAAAAAACATCAGTTCAATGCTAGATGGTTGTTAACAGTTTTAAAGATACAGTGTTTATATCACATGCGAGCATACTACAAAAATTTAATACACTAACTAGAACAAAAAGTATTGCAGATTTCTTAGGACAAAAGATTCTATACCATTCACAGTTAACCGCAGATGATGGTACACTATTCCAGTATGCTATTGATGATGGAAAAACAGAGTTTTTATGAATGTCATTGTGACTTTTAGGCAGTCCGTATTGTCTTCTTGTGGTTGGTTCTTGAGGAGTGTCTGAGGGGTTGAAGGAGATGTTCCGGATATTTTATAATGCTCATTAAACAAACGATACAGAAATTTGAGTTGGGAAATTACTTTGCGTTGATGAAGACAACACAGCTCGGCTTTTTTTGTGTGTGCAGGAGCTGTAACACTGGTATGCCGGAAATAACTTGAAAACACATATCAGGCTGCTAAATTTTGAACTCGCTAATTTTTGTGATGGGAAATTTGTGATGGGTAATCCAAATTATGTCGGCATATTCCAGTGCCGGTCTAATTAGTGTCTCATACGCGATTAGTTTAACCTCAGGAGGCGCGTTCCTTTGTCCTTCTCTTGACAAACGACAGCTTTCTTTGCGCTTTTGCACAAATAGTCGCTATATGTTGTTCCCAACTGCGATTGGATGTTAATGTGACTTCCCAAGTATTTTACATGGTTACTTTTGCTGATTTCCTAATTTGTATGAGAAATTAAGAGACTTTTTCTTGTTTGTAAAACTTATGGCTACCATTTTCCTTGCGTTCAGTGTCATTCCCCATTTCGAGCACCATGCCTGATTTTTTTTTCGTAGCGAGTGATTAAGGTGAAGCGTTCATTGTTGCATAGCGAGGGCCTCGACTGAGCCCTTCAGGCAGCGTGCAAGGGTTGATTGGTCGACTCCACTCAAGAAGTTGACGCACTGTGTGACGCCTGCATTTGACAAATTGTTCCACATTAAGCGTCATGTCTGAGTGGTGGCGCTGGAAAACACTTTTCGGGGTTAGTACCGTAGCTCTCATTAAACCCCTGACAAAAAAAAATAGAAGAAAAATGGGATGGTTCAACGGCACCGCGGTTTGTTATCGCAGATCGCGTCTGCGTGCTTCTTCACCGAAGCTGGGGCCGTGTAACTTTCTGCTCACAGATGACGAGCACGCGGACTATTTTCGTTCTACCATAAACCAACTCCGAGCTGAACGAGCGCCGTCTTTAAAAATGACATCGTCCATTTCAACATTTCTTTCTTCCCACTGTTCTGTCACTCCTTCCTCCCTATTTATCCCTATACCCTCAGTGCGGGGTAGTAAACCGGACGTGCGTCTGATTAGCCTCCCTGCCTTTCTTTGCATCTCTCTCTCTCTTCGATTTCAACGAGGTGCCTTTATTCGCTATGGTGCTTGAATTCACTGTAATCTACGCTTTTCTTCTGCCTTGTGTGTCGATGTCAATTAGGTAACTGTAGCCCACTGCGAGCCCTGAATTCCCGTGCATGTGCTGCTTTTCCGTTTAAGGCAGTGAAAGCAAGGCAGTGTTTATATATAGTTAGGTATGGGGCCCCTTAACCGGATATATCGCCTGTAGAAAAACTCGACTGGTTCGACGTATCGTTTGGAAGAGCGTATGCAAGCTGTGAAATACATTTATCGTGAGCTGCACATTCCGTTAAACGACGCACGTATCCATATATGTAATGACCAAACGTGTAATCATTTAAAGGATCTTCTATCAGCTACTCGCCCAAAGAATCCGCTCGAGTGATTCGTTGGGCAAGTTGGTGATACTGTCAATGTCCTTACGGCTCGGAAACGACACGGACATATAGACGAGGAACTAACATAAACGGGTAATTGACAAATCGTCTTGTCTGTTGAGATGGTTCATCTTTGTACATGTGTCGTTTCCTTGGCGTGAGCCTTTGACAGCGTAATATTGTAATCTCTAGAATGTCGACAGAAAATACTTCGAGGTACTATGATGGGTGTCACTTTTTTTTTATCTCTGTGCGTAGCTCAACTTAAGTATATATATGCTGCTAGCGTGGTACTAGACAGAGTACGCATGCGCGTGACAACGAAAGTGTGGTTATCGAAGAGGTCAAAAGTAAACGAACTCTAGATAAAGCGCTTACTTGTTATGTACAACCATGGAGTGTACAACTGAGTCGCGTTCAAAGTTCAGAGCGCGAAATATATCGCGGGCAGCCGCGTTGCGCGCTCGTTAGCAACCATGCTTGTCCGTGCTTCTGCGCTTTGCTGACCGTGAGGTGCTGTTGCCTTTAGGACTAGTTCACGCTTTAGTGATACTGTTACTGTTACAAGCTGCCACTCTAGCGTCGCCAGCGCGAAGTCGGCGACGGGAATGACAGCAGGTTGGTTCGTTCCGTACGCAAGCAGAGACAATGAAGAGATCAGAGACGTGAGAAAACAAAACAAACTTTACTCTAGTGATATTGCAGCACACGGGATTTAATACAACACTTCAATACAACTAACACAATACATCGACACTTGATACAACTAAAGAAATATATAACAGAAACAATAAATCAGCTTACGAGAGAGAACTATTACAAACTACACAAACTAACAAGAATAGAACGACGGAGGAGAAAGTTCGAAGATATAAACAGGTGAAGGCATACGTGTGATGACCGGCAGCGTTGTGTCCCCGACGATCGGATGCGAGAAGTCGAAGAGAGTTCTGGCACGACTGCGATGTCGGCGGTGTTGCAACGCTGGTGGCTCCGGGAGGCTAGTGCTTGCAGGTGACTTCGAGCAGGTTGGGCTAACTCGAGGCGAAGTCCCGATGTCTACGTTGCAGACGTTAATATCACGTCACAACTAGACGAACGGCTAAGTTTAGGTGGCCAGCCGATACAGAGCCACACTAAAAACTTCTAGAAGAGATGCTTGTTGATCTGTTTCTACACCATCTTGGTCGGCGACTAGTCTGCCTAGCAGGGCAAAATCCTGCGCTTAAATCCCCCTCGTGTCTCCTCGCTCTCTTCCTTGGGGACAAGAGACCTCTACCTGGGTCCAATCATGCGCGTTTAATTGATGGGAAACTCCGCCCCAAAATATTTTGACCCCACCTCTTTTTAATTGGGAGAGGGCCCTCAACTAGCGAGAGTGACAACCTGTCGGGTTGTTGTCATACGGCTTGGCCACCAGAGCGTTTCCCACGCTTTTCCCCGTGGGAACGGTCAAACGTTTGGCTCTCAGCCGGTGTGTCTCGTAGTCTAATCCTTGTTCGGGGTATACCGCGGCCTTCTACGACCTTGCAGACGCCGCCACAGTTACAAAAGGATTAACCGTCGGCGGCGACGTTCTAAGAAGAGCACCCCATTTTGCACTTCTCGGCTCCCTTTCATGCGCCGCCGTTTCCCACGGTCAGTCGGGGAGTACGGCGCCCGTTAATTGCCGTGACGCGGTGTCGCCAAAAATGGCCGTCCGTGACAGTTACGAAGTATATTAGGGTAGCATACTGCTAGCAGTACGTGTATAACAATCGAATTATATAGAAGAAACCCCAATGCTTTATACCTGCGGACACCGTCAAGGGGCCCTGCAAGACTTTTTCAAGTAATCATCGAACGACTTCACTGTCGGTGTTTATTGCTCCACAAATTGACTGGCGCAAAAAAAAAATTATCTCGCGCATTAAACGCTCTCACACTCTCCTTTCATCTCAGCGAGCGCGGCAAAAGCTTAATCAGGGTCCTACCCTGGCTTCACGGAGGCTGGAAGCGGGAGAGGGGCCCAAGAGTTACGTCCGTACAAGATCGGGTAACATAACTGAGCACCCTCTTTTCACTGTTCTTGTTACTTTCTTTTTTGATCGCGTGGTTTACTTCCAGCGTTATTTCAAGCGCCGTGGTCGTCAGCATGATGTTGACATAGTGGCACCCCGCGGCTGGCGCGGCAGTCATTCATCGGGCAGTCAACGTGACCATGAGCTTATGACACAGTTGCGATTCAGGTCCATACGCCACCGTTCATCGAGAGAAGACGGAGCTATTTGTAGCTGAATTTCGAACATCAAACTCTCCGTCGCGTACTGCGCTACAATATTGCCGTGGTGGTTATAGGTCGCCGGTTCGACACCGGCCGTGGCGGTCGCGTTTTAATGGAGGCGAAATGTCTGAGGTCCGTGTACTGTGTGATATCAGTGCACGTTAGAGAGCACCAGCTGGTCGAAATTTCCAGAGCCTTCCACTACGGCGTATTCATATCGTGTGTTTGGGATATTATTATGAGCAATAATATCTGGCTCACATGTTCGCAGGAGCTTCGAGTACAGATCAGCTACATTTTCGTGCCACGTTCGAAAAAATAATAATAATTTCCCGCTACAACACTGCGGAAAAGACTTCTAGAAACAACAGTGGGTATACATAATACGTTCACAAATTGTTCTTTGGTCATCCGGTACAACGGCAGTATGTTCCAACTTGCTGCCGGAGATGAGCAGGACGTTGCCGCTGCGGTGCGTCCTCGCTCCTGGTGTGGAGGCTGCCCAGCGCTGTTAGCACCTGCTCAAGCTATTCAAACGTTCGTGTGCGTTTTTTTTTTCTGTTTTTCTTTTTGAAAAATGCGCACAAAATATTCGAGAACACTGTGCCCCTCAAAATTAAAGGGTGCGGCCATCAGGCGAATTTGCACACAGGGTAATTTTTTTTCTTTTTTCAGAATATGCAGTTTTTCAAGTTTTGATGAAAATGCTGTCACTGTCAGGCTCCTGTCGTCTTCGCACGTGAACGTTACGTTGAGATGCAAATAATTTGCCACAGCTAAAGTTACATCGAAGTGACTGATAACAAACTCTTTCATTAGTTTTTTAGTTATTTTTATATGAGCGCGATTTATTAGATAGAAAACGTACTAGGTGCTCTTTTTTTTTTTTTTAATGACAGAAGTTGCGCGCTATTTGAGTGGTATTTTACGACCGATCCTGAAACCGCCGCACATGTAAAAACGCGGCCGTTCTGGTACGTCATACCGCAGCTTCCGCTTACAAGAGAGTGACGATTTCGAACGAAGGCACGACGCGCCAAGTGTATTATCGTGGACAGCGGCCGGTCGTTTATATAACTTACACCAGCGGATGTCACGAAAACGGCGCCTACGCCACTCTTACCCCCGTATTCACAAACGCTCCTCGACTCGACTTTAGCCCTTGACTCGACAGAGTTGAGCACTGATGCGCCACAGCTCGGATCAAAATGACGCTGCACTACTCAAGAATCGCAGCATGCAGATTATCGCTGATATGCAGTGAATTGCCGTGCCTAGAGACGGCGCTCCCGTCGGCTTTCTCAAGTGAAGGTGAAGCGTTGAGTGAAGGGACGTTCCAGAATACGGGGGGCTAGTTCAAGGACAGGAGAGATTTCTTCCTCGCCTTCACATTTCCGCAGGCGCTGTCTCCTCGCCACTTAATTCTTCGGGAAACAAGTGGACGATATCAGCACTAAGCACTGAGCCTATCGGGATTTCGCGCTTTTGGGCTACACATGCATGCACTTTACCTCCGCTTGTGCTGTCGCAAACTAGTTAACGGAATGAAATTGGTAGACCGCGCACGGTATTCATGCGTGACGAAGCAAAAAGGGTAGACGACTGCATTAAAAAGCGTGCTTAGGAATGATTAACAACTTTAAATAATAATAATAATAATAATAATAATAATAATAATAATAATAATAATAATAATAATAATAATAATACATAATAATAATAATAATATAATAATAATAATAATCCTGTGTAATTATAAAAGACGCCGTAGCAGATGTCTCTGGTTATATTGAGCATGTGGTGTTCTTTAACGTGCACTGATATCACACAGTACACGGGCCTGTACCACTTTGCCTCCATTTAAATGTCACCGCCGTGGCCGGGAGCGAACCCGCGATCATATAGGGTCAGCAGCCGAGCACTATATAGCCACTCATTCAGCGAGGCGGACAATTCAGCGACTTCTGTCCTCCATATATGTGGACCAGTCGAGAGTTTGTTTCCTCGTGACGTCACGTGAACAGAGTCAGTCTCAGGAGTGTATGAGCTTCTGAGGATACGTTTTCGAGCTGTAAGGTCACCGCGGACGAGGAGCCGACGCCACAGGAGATTGTCGGTAGAGGTGGCTTGAAGGCGGTGACAGTTTCCCTGAATTATTGTTTTGGAGTTTTTGCCGGGCGTGCGAACCATGCACCGCAGCCGATTTCTGGACGGCCAGGCTATAGTGCCGTGGTTCGGCCCATGTGGCTGACCCGACCGAGGAGCAGAAGCGCGAGATTAGGTTAAGGTCCGTCGGCGATAACGACCACCGCGGGTGGTGCGCCCGAAAGAGAGCGTCCCGAGAATTCCTTTTCTCCTTGCTGAGAGCAGGGAAGAGGGGGAGCGCATACACTGTTTCTGTTTATGATTGTTTTTCAACTGCGCGGGAATGCGCGGTTGCAAGACGGAACAGGTAGTTCGTTGCGCGCGGCCCGAGCGGAGGGTCGTGCAATAAACGCTGCCTTCAACCGGACCCTGGCTCTTCCTTCGCGTTGCCAGCGTGCACTTGGATCGCCAAGGGGGCTGTTGATACCTACAACATCCACAACATAGGAACTTGACTAACAGCGTGCTGGCGTCAGGAATCGTTTCAGGAAAAAAAGCAAAACGCCAACGTGCTTGTTCTTTGTACTTTTCGGGGTGTTTTAGGGCCCTTTAATTGGAACATGGCGGTAAGGATGCATTGCGACCGCGAGCTCCGCACGATATATCGACATAGGCACCCAGTCACGGAGGCCAGTATGTCATTAATCAAGGGCGGCGACAGAATTTTCATACTCTAAAGGGGAGGGGGGGGAGGGCGTCGCTTGGTACAATCACCAAGGCAGCGCAAAGCCAGGTGATTGCAAACCGCTTACAACGCCTACGATGCAGGCGAACGAGTCGTGCGTAACCAGAAAAGTTTTTGGAAGGGGGAAGGCGGGATGTTCAACCGCACGTTATGTAACACTGATAGCTGGAAGTCGAGCGTGCTTATTGCCATTTTCTGTCCCGTCTCGGCGCGCTGTTTCATGCTCAGTACTTTATGTATGTTTGTGCACGCGTTTTCGTGTGTGATTCTATCTTATACAAACGCGAAATTGAAACATTTCGCGGAGGAAAGTTTTAACACCTCGTCGCTCTCTGGCTATGCCACTGCCTCCGATGGGCAGTGAAAAACCACGTCATGTTTAAGGTCACAGTAAAGGTTCTTTTCCTGCGGCAAAGTTGACGCGACAGATTCTTGACGATTAATCTCGGCGGGGGTGAAGTGTTTCGTAGGAGACGTTGAGTGATTATGAGCAAACTGTATTACATTTGCATAGGGTAATTACAGGTGGGAAGACTAACCTGAACTCAATAATGGGTGCAACCAAGAGGCCCTCACTCTTCCACACATCACTTGGTGTTAGAGAACAGGGCACTGCGAGGTAGTAAGCAGCACAGAGCCTTGCCATTCTTACCACACTGTAGTTACAGCCCGCACTGCTCTTCCGATCGAAGAACACAAGGGGTTGGGGGTGTTTACAATCGAAGAACACAAGGGGGTGGGGGAGAGAGAAAGAAAAAGGAGGAAGGGAGAGAACAGTTCGGTCCCACGCGAATGGCATTGCGCCTTTCCTCGCTGCTGACACGGGTCTCGAACTGCCCCCTGACCCCCGCCCGTGGCTCGTATTCCCACGCACATCCGCTGGCTCGGGGCTCTCTTATTCTTGCGCACGCATACAGACTCGCAAGTGCGCTGATATTTAGTGTGGATGGGGGGGGGGGGGGAGGGCAGCCGATTCTCCGATTTGTATATAGAGCGAGGCCTCAGTTATACCGGGGAAGACTTCTGGCGCTCCAAACGGTTTATTCACCCGACCCTCTGGAGAGCACGACTTCTCGTCGGCGGCATCCATTCCTGGTCCCAAGACCATGACGCTCTGCGGCGTAACTCAAGCCCGGCTTCAAACGTTCCCCGTACGAGTATAACTAAGCTCCACGTCCGTTCGTCTAAACATAACAGGCCAATATATTGCATCGGGAAAGCCGTCGCTCGTACACTCCCTGTCCCGAGACGATGATGCTCCGCGGCATAACTCAAGCCCGGCCTTACAGTTAACGTAACTATACTTACCTGCGGACATCTTCTTTTGTAGGGGAGGGGTGGGTCAAGAGATCGATTGGGACGAAAAAAAAATGATGACTTTCACATAAGAGTTGTCTTCAGCAAATGCATAAGGGAATTTGTGAGTTTGGAGCATATATACGAGAATGTCCCGAGACATATACGAGACTGTCCAGAGACACTCGTCATTTTTCATTTTCGGTCTTTCTGCAGCCGCCAGCCTCGGCGAGTGCACTCGATGACGCGGCTGCGAACGTCACGGAGTCGGCGAACGCGACCTGGTGCGTGGGCCACGAGCCGTCCTTCACCGTGAGCAGCTCGTCTAGCGCCGTGAAGGTCATTCTGGACGAGCCGCAGAGTGAGGATCAGTGGACCTGCGTGTGCGCCATCAACGCGCTGCTGGCGTCCCGCATGAAGGAGATTGCGTGCTCGAGAAACAAATCCGTCCGGACACCGCCACTGTGCCGCAGCGGTAGTTCCAGCACCTTCTACATCGGAAGTCTCACGGCCGAGACCAAATACACGGTCTGCGTGCGCTATCTTTGCGCGGGAGAGAATGTCAGCGATGTCGCCTGTAAGCCCACTACAACAGGTAAGATTATGAAGGAATGAATGAATGAATGAATGGGGAACACAGTTGTTCAAATAACTGGGAACGCGTTAACAAAGACGACAGACAAGGTAGAATCGCATCATGCGAACGCTTGAACAACTGTATGGATGTCCATGCTTTAGGGGGAGAGTTCTGAATAGAGCAGCTAATTGCGAGTGAAGTGATATCAGTAGTATTATTTGGTGATAACGAACAGTTCGCAAGGGGAAGAAAAGTCCATGTTGAAACTTCTTGAGAAGTTTCCCATGGGATGCGTAAGCGTATAAATCTTCCGGATACGTATAGCGGCCGTCCTTAGAACGTTGGTTAAGAAACCGGGCCTCAGATGCCACCAATACAGCTTATGTTGTCTTATTAATTTGTATTCCTTCACGGCGATGGATCTTTTTACGTGACAAAGAGACAGATAGACAGTTTCCTCGTTGAGTCAGCTTTAAAAAGGTTGCGCACTTTAAACGAAATGACGATGCGTGGCAGTATACGAGTAACATGCAGTCCACTGAGGCTGATATAGATTCAAGTGCTATTTCACCGCGATATATACGCAGGACCCACACCGAAGAGTCAGCCGGTGCTGTCGACGCCATTCGAAATGACCGTCCACGTCGACGCTACGAGCACCACCGCCAACGTGACGTGGAGCACGACCGAAGCCGCTGCTCACGGGTTCACCGTGTCGCTGTGGAAGCCGGTCACGCACAGCGCCCACGATCAGGTGCCCGTTCAGTTGGTCAAGACCGAAGAGCCCCACTGCGAGTTCCGGTCGCTGGAACCGTACACGGTTTACAAGGTGGAAGTGAGCACTGTCGTTCCCAATGGCGGAATCGTAGCCAATGAAACCATCTTCAAGACGCAGCCAGGAGGTGAGCTTTTGCAGCAATGACCGATGCTATTGGAAGGACACATACGTTATTCTAAATATTTGAGCAACCCACAGTTTGAAAACATACTTAAAACGTATTTTTTTAGAGAGTAGACGTGATATCAAAATGTTTTGTCTTCGAAAGTGACGAATAATTTCGCAGGACTAACATGCATGGGAATCATATCGTTGAGCGCTCCCGTCGTTGCAACCATTGGCCGCAAAGGGCACTTTTTCCGTCTTCAAGCTTGCCGTATTGGCCAGCATTGTCCAACACAATGAAGCGCACAAAACGAGATAGTTTGAAGGCACGAAATAGTTTGAAAGAAAAGACACGTGCGCCCGTAGCGTCTACACTGGTGCCATGTTGATGCACGCGCTGTTTCATGATCGACTCTGAAAATAGGCGCTCCGTATAGATTGGTGTTCGCACTGATTCCGTCATCGCGGATAGACAATGTTAACTGCGCATCGATGCGACAGCCGTGAACTGTTTTCTCCGGTCAAAAAGATTACGGATTTGCCGGATAAGATAGCGCGACGCCTTCGTGGTAAACATCCAGAAGCGCGTCCGGCCCTTCGTGATCAGTCTCCAAAGATTTAACCGATCTCGCACCGACTCCTCGAAGCGTTTCGCGCATCGGTACGCGTCGGTCTGTACAAACGGGCACATTAAACGCGAACATCTCGGATACCGCACGTCGGCGACGAATATACTCTTTAGAAAATTCAGACTGGAAACATGGCTCTTCCGCCATATCTTATTTACTTGTTCACTCGTGCGAGCTGGCAGGCTGTGTGTTCCAGCGACGCCAATGAGCGTTCCCTGCAGCGGCGCACATGGACACCGCTTTCGTTTCTGCAAAACGTGTACCGCGTTTCAGACAGTACGCCAATGAGCGTCCCTTGGGTGAAGAAGACATGGCGGAAGAAATGTGTTGGTTTCGTTCGATAGGTGGCACTGAATTTTGAAAAGGGTCTATTGAAACTATATCTGCCAATTTCACTGGAGCCTTGCGAATTTCAGTGAGCACCGTTTGCTGTTTCAGCACCCACTGCACCACGGCACCTGCGGCTAACAGGCATATCCAGCACTGCGATAAGTCTCGAGTGGTCGGCGCCACAAGAGATGCGCGGCCCTTTGTTCGGCTACACGGTATTCTACGGTCCCGCACGCGAACATCAAAAGCGCAGCTCTCTGGAAACGCAGAACACTTCGGTCACCGTGACGCATCTAACTCCGGACACGTTCTTCGAAGTGTACGTCAAGGCGTTTAACAAGCTGCACGACGGCACAGAGGTGGCCAGCGTTCCGGCCCGCATCGAGGTCAAGACCAGCATCGGAGGTTAGTGTGCGCGCCTAGATAAACGATCTATTGGGCGATTCATATTGGCAGCTGAGCTGTTTGAGGGCCAATGTAAATCCCTAGAGACCTGTCGTTCCCGCCGAAAACTGACGAGAGGGAGAGCATGAGCAAAGCTAAGTGGGTGAGAGGGAAGCCTTGTGAAGCGAGTTGAGCTGGTTCAGCCTGCTAGATAAAGGGTAGCTGCGGGGAGAGGGGCGAAGCTGAGTAGAGATGAGGACGACAAAGGCGAAGCTATGGCAGGAGTGGAATGTGGAGGCGAGGACCAGCAGATAAACCATTCTGGGAAATCAGAGGGTCTCGCATCCCCAATTTGCACGTTCGGCGACGGCTCCACTGCTGGTGCCACTAGTTCTGCTCTTTCTGTTTAAATTCAGTTAAAACTGCGCATAATTCTTTTTTTTTTCGGCTACTGTTCAATTACCTAGACACTTTCCTTCTGAGGCTTTGGTTTTCTCTCGCTTAAAGCCATGTCCTGAATGTCGCCGGGATAAGCCACTCGTTATGCTAAAAAGAACCATAATTTTGACATTTGTTGCTTAATTTGACAGTTATTTACTTGCTCTTGTTGTTTTTTCAAAGCCTAGTTCTCGCAATCAGATTACGTATCTATACCGAAATTATGTTTAGATCAATGAAAGCGACAGCGGAAGAGAGGCGACAGTGTCGCCTGTTTTGGTGTTTGACCTTCTCTTACAGCTCTCTTGTTAGCTAATGTTTTATGCAAGGCGGCATTCCAGATAATCTTAGAACTTATACACTCAATGGCAAAAGGGTGTTAAAAGGGTGTGTGGTTCGTCCTTTTGGGGACTAATTGGGCTGCCACAACGATTAATCCTTTTAAAGACTAACGGCACCGGGTCTAACAGTTAGTCCCCACAGGCGAGCTCAAAGGACTAACATTTAGTCCTCACATTTACGCCTTAGTGAGCAAAAAGGGTACATGTTCAGCGACCGTGGGCGCCTCACGGGGTCTAAAACTTCGATCGTGCGCTGTACCGAAACGTCCAATAATTTGGGTCCGCTCTACTCGTAATCGATACGACATATTTCGTCACGTGCAGCCCCTTCCAAGATTCAAAACCTGCGCGTGGTTAGCCGCTCCACGAGCACAGTGGTGGTGAGCTGGAGCGCGCCGCTCAAGTCCAACGGGCCCTTGGACGGATACGTGGTGCATTGGTGCAACCATAGCAGCGATGGCAACAACTCTAGCTACGCCGACTGGATGGCGAAGCTGACTAACCACTCCGAGTGCCACACGTTGAAGTCTGCGAGGGATACTCGGGCCACCATCGGTCCACTCGTCCCGGAATCTACGTACGTGGTTGCCGTGAGCGCCTACAATCTGCAGGCTGACCGTCACCGGTGGATTGAGAGCAGTCCCGAGACCATCACCGTCGAGACGCTGCCAGAAGGTATACACTCGGTTCCGTGGCCAAGCAGGCTTTAATGGATCACATACACATGCAGTGGTGGAAGGCGTGCTATAGGTGGGAATTAAACGTCAAAACTGGAATGTTACACACACTGTCCACGTCCTGCCTCTTAGATCGGTAATTCGAGAATTCTGTACTTGTAAAGGGGCACAGAAAGGTCGAAATTTATTTGTTGCTTTTCAGTTGTACACGGGTCTGATACAAACATGAGCATGCTAGAACTTTTCGAGAATGCTGTCGTATACTAGCGAGGCTAGGCGCGTTTGCTGATCTCATTTCGCCCTTTCATTCGATACGCTCTGTTCGACGGCTCTCTTCTCCTCCTGGCTGAGGTATTCTTCCTGTCTTGAGAGGAGGAAGATCAAATGATATGACCAGATTATCTTGACAACGTCACTACCAACGCTGGAGATACAAAAAGTCCCGGAGCGTAGGGTCGTTCTTGCTGTGTTTTTTTTTCTGTTTTGATGGCGCAGTGCCACGTTTGGTAATGTTTATCGTTGTGGCATTCTGATTTCAGCGCGCATGTTTACTTTAAGTGTTAAAGATTAGGGGTCACCCTTAAATGTCTGTTTCAAAGGTCGTGGTACAGAAAATATCAGCCGGATCCAAAAAGTGAGAGCACGAGCCGCGTGCTGAAGTCTGTATTTCAAATATAGTGTAACAAACGCTTCTTCAGGCCGCTTCGCAAAAAACGAAGTATTCCAGTGCTTTGGCTGCTACACCGACATGTCGTTATCGCAGCGCCGCCCGCACTTCGCGCCTTGGACGTGCGCATGGTGAGCGCCGACTCGGTCGAGACCAACTGGGAGTCCCCGGCGCCTGGCGTCGTGGGCTACGTGGTCGCCTGGTGCCAGAACCAGCGCTGCTCGGAGAAAACTGTTACGGGTACGCGCCTTATCATCCACAACCTACACGCCGACAGCGACTACAACGTCAGCGTGGTGCCCTTCCGAATGGACAGCCAGAACAACAAGGTGCTTGGGCCTCTCACCACTAAGCAAGTCACCGTCACCGACAGCATCGGTTCGTGCACCCGCTTTGTATATTCACCAATGGCTCGGTACTTATTATCGCTGGTATCGAAAGAAAATAACCTTTACACTTAAAAAATAATTTGGGACTGTTTATGTTACAAAACAATAATCATCTACTTAGAGTACGTTCCTCGCGCTATCACCACGGTTCCGGTAGTTCGCGGTCACGAACGGCGCCTGCGTTATCAGTGTGACATAGCATTCGCGACAGGAAAGTGGCCAGCGCCAGGGTTTTCAAGAAAATAAATACGAGCAAATCAGATGACGATAATTGTTGTGTAGCAGCACTATACTTCCAGAATACTCCATTTTTTTATTAGAGTGTACATTGATGCATGTCTCTATAATCGCTCTGTTGTTGGCACGGCCTTCTTCGTCACGCGCTAGATTTTACGCTTAGCTTGCTTTGAGGGAGGAGGAAATTGGCTATAGCCCAGCACGGATACCAAAATACAGGCAGGCCGTTGACTTTACCCAAACAATAATGCCTGCGATTTATAGCTGTTTTCACAGTAAATCGGTTTGCGCCCTTGAGGTGCTAGCCGTGTGCATAACACCCTACGATAAGGGTGTTTTGACAAAATCCAAACAGCCTATGTCATGTGCGTTTTGAAATGCTAGTTTTGATTTGTCAGGACACCCTTATCGTAGGTGTTAGTTACGTGGTAAAGCGCCCTCAAGGGCCGTTCCACGCGCTTCCCGCACAGCCGCAACGCACGTGTTGGGACCCCTACCGCATGCAAGCGGGGGACAAATAAGCTAATTGACGATGCTATTTCCCCCTCCACAGCGTCGCCAATTGGCTTATTTGTCGCCCGCTTGCGTGCGGCAGGGGTCCCGACACGTGCGTTGCGGCTGTGCGGGAAGTGCGTGGAACGTCCCTAAGGGTGGTTTCCTGTGTTTCCACCACCGGGATTATGCTATAGCTGCGTAAAGCTACTTGTGTAATATTCTACGTCATTACTGCAATGCATACACAGGGCTTAGATTATTGAGGCACACGGAAAGCGATATCCGGGAAAACGACTATAGCAAACTGACCAGGGACTATACCTTTTCTCTGCAGATGCTGTTATGGCCGACAGTTACCTCGTAGGGACCATCGTGTGCTCGGTGATAGTCACTGCCTTGGGTCTCATTGTATTCGTCGTCTGCCGCCGGAAGAAAGGAACGTAAGTTTTTCTTTTTTTTTTTTTCAGTACAGTAATGTGGAGAAACCCACCTGGAAATTCACCCACGCGCCACGCGTCTTCCTTTTTTTTTCCTTGTAATAACAGAACGCACTAATGTATTACCTAAAGTTGGCCATCTGCGGTTAGATGAACCCGTATGAGAGGTAAAAGACAGCCTCAGGCCAATCTCTACATATTTTCTTAACTAAGTCTTCACTTATCTCTATTATATTCTCATTGTATACAGGATGTCCCTGCTATTCCTAGCCAGAGTTTAAAATTATGCCGATGCAATTTATTCCAACGCGACGCAATGGATATGAACATCTACTGCATAGGGTGTGTCGCACTTTTCTTTCGTCATATTTCATGTAGCTTTTTATTATTATGTTATTAACCTTTTAGGTAATCACGAACGCGCGATATTTCAACGAGACAGCTGTAGATCGATTTGTAAAACGTCTGATTAGACAGCTTCTAACTTTACATCTTAATTATTAGTATTTTTCCGCCTACTACAGATGCCACCGAAATACAAAAAAAAAATTGCCACGCGACGATCCCACTTGCGCACCTATGCGCGCTGTGATTGCAGTGCTTCGTTCCGCGTGCAAACGACCCTATAGCATTTGACAGGATGCGCTGCCTTGTCGGGACAGCGACGATAATGGCGGATGTGCGACTTACGCACGTTTTGATATAGCGGCAACGTAAGCGATAACCGCTGCGCCTGCTTATTGCCTGTCACGAGGAAAGCATGTCGTTTGTACTCGAAACATTAGGGATCACTGCAATCACGGTGCGCCTAGGCTCCCCTTCCCCCCCCCCCTTTTTTTTGTACTTCGCGGGTATCTGTAGTGAGCAGAAACACATTGATAATTATATCTGGGGAATTCTACGTCCCAAAACTATATGATTATGAGAGACACCGTAGTGAAAGGCTCCGGTAATCTGAACTATCTGGTTTAACCTGCACTGACATCACAAAGTACATGGGCCTCTGCCACTTCGCCTCCGTCGAAATGCGGCCGCCGCGGCAGGGGTCGAACCCGTAACCTTCAGGTCGGCAGCCGAGCACTTTATAGCCACAGCTCCGTCGAGGCGAATAACACAATAATAGTTAACATGTATAATGTTGACAGATGTTCTAATCAGTCGTTTTGGAAATTAGATATATGTTCCCATTGAAATTTTCAGCCAGCTTCGTTGCTTCAAAAGGTGGTTAACATGCCCATTTAGGTGATAAAGTGGAGAAGAAAAATGAATGTGACTTGCTCCTTGTAATGCTAAGCAACATGCATTCGGTCGCGCTTTTATAGAGTGCGTCGGCATATTTTTCAACTCTCGCTAAAGATAAGGGGCCACCTTGTATCCAGCCCATGAATATAGATGTGAACGATGTTCATCGCGTAGAGCATGCGCATGGCAGCCAGACATGCGCAAAAAAAATGTATGTGCGCGATTATATCTCTGCAGGTTTTCTTTCTCCCCTTGAACCACACGCACCGATTTGCTTCTTGCACGAAGTCGGTGTTTTGCGCTGCGCTTTCTTTACTGACCGAGTGATACAGGTTGCGGTGCAATATGTAACAGCTGGGCTGTTATAATCAAGCGTCGCGAACAGCGGGTGACACGGGGTATGCGGTCGTAATGTTACACGCTTCCCGATAAATTTCGCATACTTTACCAAGTCAGTTCTGGTAAACAGGTGGAATTACTTTCTCTACAAAGTGCACCGACATCATGTACATGTACATTGTAATTGCAGATAACGCCATGCGCTTTTTGCACAGTATATGCGGATTTTTGGTGTGACGGCACCTGTGTAAGGAGGATGCGGGAATGATTGCTAACTGCTTACAGCGTGTTTACAAAAAGAGAAAAAAGACCTTGAACATTTTAGCGCAAACGTGCGGATATATTCTCTAGAAGCGTCTATATACTCTGTTTATTCTCCCCTCTAATTTAGTAGGACAATGTGGCGGAGACAGAAGCAGGTACAAGTAATTGAAAGAACTTGTTATACCGCCTGATAAATTGATCACTAGTGCACTCACTGCTTCCAAGTACCAAACATACCTAATTCGGTTCATGTGCGCAGGCTTTCTTGTTTGTTTGGAAACTGCGCCTCTCATCGTGAACACTTGCGACAAGATATATGTAGATGCTTACAACTGTCGCCTGCCCTTACGATGTATATGTTCAATGTATATGTATTTTTGCACGTGTGCGAGGAAAAGTGAAGATCCAAAAATGGGTCGGTTTATATATTAACGCGATAGCGTTAAAAAGTTCGTTTTGCAGAAATCCCAGTGTCAGCGTCATTGCATGGTTGTGAGCGAAAAATTGGAGTTTTCCGCGAAAATTGCGATAAATGCAAAATTTATGGGTTCAAGCCGGAACGAAAATCCAAGGCTTCTGCGTGGCAAGCAGGAATTCTACTCTACACCAGATCCACGCGAAGGCCTAACAGTGTTTCGAGAAAAGTACAATAAACAAGAACAAAACTAACTAGGTGGTGGTGGTAGAAACATTTATAACAAAACTAAGATGACGTGTAGTGCAAGGACTCGCGTCAAGACATGTATTGCGTAACACCAACATAGAGTCGCACCATGGCGTAACATGCGAGTTGCACAAAAAGTGTATGGTTCATTAGTTCCCTCATTACAAAAGCTGTCGGATACATTTAATCCGCATCAGCCGCAGCCTCAAACAAGCGTGCCGCTGCATAGGTGTGCTTATTGACTATAAACGGACGCATAGTAGTGGGTAGGTCGCTTATTCTCAACCTGAATTACGAATGAGCGCTTCGCAAATACACTTAGTAGGCCCTAGAAAATCAGCAAAAAAAAAAGAGAAAGAAAGAAAGCAAAATTCTGTTGTAAAATTGTGGAGGGTTGAAGCTTGTATGGACTGGAGTTTCTGATACGCCAACGTCGTCGGCAATTTGTTGGAATACGTAACTGTTGCCTTTTTATATTCTTTATAATGGGAGTATATAGTGCCCTGTTGTTATTTCAACCCGTTGTGGCGCGCATTCATTTTTATGACGGACCGTCACAACAAGAGACGCCGACAAGCCGAGCCCCTAGTGTGCTTCGCACCTAATACGCACAGGCGTGTTTTTTATTTCCTTAACGGCGCAGGAACTTTCATTGCTTTCAGAATGATCGACACATTGATGGATGTTTTATTTCTTTATTGTGATCGAATGAAGTGTACCGTGTAATAGTTACATTACTGAATGCATTGCTTAACTGGTGTGCAGAAATGTCACAAAGACTTCCAGTTACGCGATGTGCGACTGATAACGGTCTAATGTGGTCATTCAACAGTTCAGTGTTCTTTTAACAACCTGCCAGGGTCGAGTTTGCTAACAGCGAATTGTTGCGAACGCAGGGGCCCTCAGCTTTACAAGAGGATGAGCTCCTTGGAAAATGACGACGATGACATCGGTGAGCGAACGCACATCACGCTTGATTTTCTCTTTTACGCTCACCATTTTGTTTCTTTCACCTTTTCCAGTTTTCATGAAGACTGTTCCGAGGCGAACATAAGACCTGCGGTCCCATCAGATAGGTCTACGAGAAGAAGAAAAATTCTCACGTATTCTATGTTATCGAACCCCTCGAATCTTCATTTGTATCTGTACTCACCGAAACCGGTTGCAACAGGCGTAAGATTGATTCGTAACCAAACCACTGACGTCGCAAGAAAGCGGCACGTGCCGGGGTGAAAAGTATAGCAAAACGCCGTGCGAAGAATGTTTAAGTCACATTATTAAACAAAAAAAAAAACGTCATTGTCTACTCGCAGCAAAAGCACTACTGACGGGTATGCGTCCCAAAAAACGTCTTGAAGGTCACAAAACGTAGCAGCGTATAAAGTTTAAGTCACATTATTAAACAAACAAAAAAAACGACATTGTCTACTCGCAGCAAAAGCACTACTGGCGGGTATGCGTCCCAAAAACAGTCTTGAAGATCACAAAACGTAGCAGCGTATAAGAATATAATAGGGCAAGATGTGTGCACTGATGTAAAACTAGAAATATTCTCGTTAGAATACAAAGCTTCAAAAAAGCGTGGTAATCTATAAGGTATGAACAAAAAAAAATGATGCTCAGGCGGGTATGGCGAGAGCGTCTGCGTGGATGGGCCTCCCTAGAATGAGCCCCTTGATGGAGTCGGCCATCACGATGATGCACCACAAGATCGCCACGAGAACACAAGCGGCCGCCACCAGATAGAAGAGGCCGTTGTACGAGTCGTGCTTGTCCTTGAAGTATCCTGCGAAGCGTCGAATCGGTTATCCCTGATTTTGGTACACGTCGGACGTGCGCCATTCCTTCCATAAGACGTGCGCCCGCATTAGTTAGTTGTACGCGATCGAAAAGCGCGCCAGGAGCCTTTCATTCTAGATGCATGAGTAGTTCTCACTATTTGGTGCCGCAGGGCGTCACTATATAGTTGTCCAATCATTCGTCGACGGTTAAAAGGTCGTGTTCCGAGCCCGCGAGAAGATTCCTTCACTGCAAGGAAAAGTGCTGACGATTCTGTAGTTTTGGGTTCGTGCAGGCTGTCCATTATCATAAAAGTTAATTCCTAAGATTGTTTTCCTTATTTGTATTCCTTAAATGATGCCTCTAAAAGTAATCCTTATGGGTCAACGGTCATTCTTTTTTTTTTTTTCGATAGCATTCGGTGGCCAGACAAGCTGTCGTATTTGAGTAGAGTATCGCTCTTGTATATATTCCACGTGACGGGTATAGTGACGTATTCGGTGCTCCACGCTGCCCTTGTTGTACCGTACGTTTCGCACAGTAACGTTTACGTTTGGAGCCGTATAAGTGAGTGGTAGTAGCTATAATGTATCGATTTAAATGCGTGCTGTGCCATGCCTCCTGCAGAAACACAGAAATAGAGCCTCCGTCCCAAGTAGGTAGTTCCAAACCTTGTTCTGTCCTCTGTACGCAACCACTCATCCCGTGCATCACCGCGTCGTTAGTCATCTCTATAATATCACTTTGCACGTAATGGGTTTTATTTTACTATTCGCGCGCTCTGGAGGCATGATGGACGATTGGAGAAAAATTTCGCGTGAGCTGGTTGTTGTGTAAACAGATTCACAATCAATACGTGTCAGTTAACGGTTTTCTTTATTTTTATGTGTACGTGTGTATGTTTAACCAGTCACACCTTAAAAATAACAAAGAACAATGCCCATTTGTATGTGCGGCTACGTTTAAGGCAGACTTACAAGCTACAGCTAATATATATGTGTTAAGCTAGAGCAAGATGCGAGGAAGTATTCCGAAACTGCATTGTTACCCAATTAATAAAGACGCACTTGGCCTTAAACGTGTTACAGTTCAGCAGGCTGCTGGGCTTGTATCAAGAGCATATCATTTTTCTCCGTCGAATAAGCGGCGGTTGTTCTTTTTATGCAATAAATGTTGCTGAAGTTGTAGCCCCTGTGGTTCGTTTTGTGCCTCCTATGCATGGCGTTGATTACACGCACGTGAATATTTCGAATAACGAAATTTAAGGAAGCGTTTTCGCTATGCCTTATTTCACTATGAACTTTTCGAACTCCTTTCTGGCAATTGATTTGCTCAATTGGATCATCTTACGCGCGTGTCAACTTTTGGACGAAGTAAAAAAAAAAGTACCGGAACCGCGATATGATCCTCAGAGACGTGGTGAAGGTCTCCGGAAACTTAGACCAGATGTAGTTCTTCAACTAGCAACTAAATCGGCGGTTCTCAGCCATGGATGTTTCGGGAATCCCTTTTGGAATGGTGGAAATGTCGAGGGACCCATTGCATTGAGAGAAATAGGTGGCAGTGTCATAAATTGACACCTGCATGCAGTGTGAAATAGATGCATTTCACTTCTCTGGCAAAGAGTGCTCAAACCTCAGAGCCACGCCAATTCAACCTCTGCAGCTTCTCAGTAAGTGATTGCACAGTCTGCAGCCACATTCAACCCTTTTCTAACCGTTTGCTTTTCAAATATCAAATTTTATAAAGAGCATGCTGGCGTGCATATGTTGTAGAAAACTGCAACAGCAGCATGAAAGCCGTCACATGGAAGAGGGGAAACGTAAATTAGCTCAGTCACAATTCACTAGTGTTATGCGACGAAGCATACCAAAAGAGACCGCTGTCGAGGAATTCAATGTGCTTCCAAAAACGCGTTTGTGTGTGTGTCGGGGAGAAGAGGGGGGTTGCAGACCACTCAAAATGACTTTGCAGACACCCTGGAATTCGTGGACCTCCATGTGAGTACCTCTAACCTAATTTTAAGCACATGGGCATCTGACACTTCGCATCCATGTAAATGCGACCGCCGCCTCTGGGATTCGATCCCGCGACTTTCGGCACAGCTGTAAAGCCCCATGGCCCGATCACTAGGGTGAGTGTTCGACGGGTTAAATGGCCCGTTCATAGGCGTGCTCAGGTTCCCCATAAGTTGGGCGTGAGGGGGGAATGCAAATTTCAAAATTGGTTCTGCCGAACTTTGCATCACGCCTCCCCCCCCCCCCCCCCGCTGCAGCACCCATCCTTCCTCTCTTTCTGTTTTCTTTTTTTTTTCTTAAAGGAACTATGCGCCCCTATAATACTGCTACGTACCAGAGGCATCGAGACGAGGAGGACAAAGAGCACATCCCGTAACAACGTGTTTAGTAACCCGACCCCTTCCCGCTCCTCCTCAAATTGCCGTGTCTAAAGGACAACACGCTTCACAAATGAAAAATAAAATAAAAATAAAACGACGATGCGCTTTTCGCAACGACCTATTTTCGGTGTCTTGCTTTCCATGAGCAAACATTGCACATGAACATTTGAGGTGCCAAAACACTGATTTTTACACAATGACGATGAGATCTGTCCGATTGAATAAAATGATGGAGCAAATTTGGCGCCTACCCTCCCCACCGTGCTCTGGGTGATTTGGGAGGCAGCCATCCCTCCCGACCACCTCGCGTACGTGCGTGTGGGCCCGTCAATATTTTTGGGCACTGCGATAAGCAAGCACAGCGCATAGATTACTTGGTGACAATCGCGTCGGGAAAGTATAAAGCCATGCGTGGCACAAAACGATAAAAAAAAATTTCAAAATAATGACTTCCTGTGTGGAGTGGGTTAAGGTAATTTACACAACAATTAGACGCAGTAATTGCGGAGGGCAAATTATGGAGACACCGAGAAAGAAGCGATTTTTCTCGTATTTAATTTCATTTTATTACCTCAAAAGCCCAACAGGGGCATTACATAGAAGTGGGTTTATATATTTGCACCATACATTGATTAGAAATAACATTTGAATAAGCATTATTAAACATAACGTCGATAATGTGTGTACACGAATCTGTATTGGTATACGGTACTCTTTCACATTATCTAAATCGCCACGTTTGCCTTTCAATCACTGTACGCTGTATCTTGATGTTGAAAATAAACTGAAATTGAATTGAATTGCCGCGCGAGCACTTTTGGTAAGCCAGAGAACGCGCAAAATAAAAGTGCGGGTGGTGACGCTGCCTCTCAATTCCGGCACTAAACGCCGTGACGTCATGTATTCAAGCGGCGTCTACAACGTACGGTCTATGTGGTTCCTAATCGGTAAAATTGAAATAAGTTATCTTTTGATGGGGCCAGACACTGGACAAGTTTCAATTCTTTTCGTTGAGCCGATATCACCTCAATATGAACACATCACTTTGAAATCCGTGACTTCAACGCGCGGAGACTTCGGCCGAGGGATTTAAAAGGGGAAAAAAATCGCACCGCTCCACCCAGTGAATGATAATGAGTGGGCGAAGTTCCGGAAGTAAATCTCGTAAACTGCGGATTCTCCGTACGTTTTGCCCACTCGATCATCATGCAAAGACGTGACAAACATGGGTGTGGTACGGTATATACATGACAATGTTTTATTCGCCCCCGTACATGACAGTGAGACGCTACTTGCTTTGACCCTTCGTTCACGGCAACAACTGGAGAGTGGCGGACGCGGACGCAGATTCACGCTCACACACACACTTGCTAAAAGCAGGGACGAACAAAGTGCAGGTTCGGCGATCCCTTCTGGCCCAGTAGCGAAACCAAGATAGTCATGCCTCTCTTCCACCGAAGACGAAGCAGCGAAAGCGCAGGGCACGCGTGGGAGTGGAGCGTAAGGTCCCTAGTGGAGCGAGCGCCGCAGAGACATCTAGTGGGCAGCCCCGCCGCGGTGGTCTAGTGGCTAAGGTACTCGGCTGCTGACCCGCACGTCGCGGGTTCGAATCCCGGCTGCGGCGGCTGCATTTCCGATGGAGGCGGAAATGTTGTAGGCCCGTGTACTCAGATTTGGGTGCACGTTAAAGAACCCCAGGTGGTCGAAATTTCCGGAGCCCTCCACTACGGCATCTCTCATAATCATATGGTGGTTTTGGGACGTTAAACCCCACATATCAACATCTAGTGGGCACTCGAGTACTAGCGGCTGGCTAAGACGCAACAACGGACAAGCCTCGACCTTAGAGAGCTTCGCCCCTAAATAGAGGTTTTAGCAAGCTCCGGAAAACACGTTACGGATATACGATATGGTTCCTTTCCGTATGAACGTACAATGCTCGCTCATGCGCACTCGTCAGCCGGTTCTGTATTGCCGCCCTTCCGTAACGTTTTTCCGTAGCTTGCTAAAAACCTCCACCATCTCCCGCTAAAGTAAACCCTGTGTAGATGCGAAGCACCAGGTGCTAACGCTTACACGGACGCGGGCACTCACCACGGCGTTGCGAAGAAACCGGAGGCACAAAGCACGCAGTGATAGACCGGTGTTTCCTACTGGAATATGCCAATCCCTGCTAACGGGCAACGAGAAACAGAAGACACCAATTGGCCACAGAGACCCGCCGTCCGCATTTAGTTAATGCGTACGCTGCAATTTTTTCATTGCTCGACAACAAACAGGAGAGATCTCCCAGCGGCACTAACTTGGCGGTCATTATCAAGTATACCTATAATACTTATGTAGTGGCCAGTGAACGGTTGTGCAGCGCGAGCAGTCTTTTTCTTTTTTGATCAAGAAACTCGCTAGCAGATGCTGCCTGCGTCGGCGCTGTCAGGCGGGAGATGGGGAGGGGTCATGCATGCGCAGTGGGTGGACAGACGCCGCAGGTCTAACGGACACGGGTCCTGTAGCAAGATGCTTCGCATTAAAAATCAAACTTAATTAATTTTCTTCCCTATTAATATGTCATGTGAGGGGTAAATTAACGACATTAACGTTTTCAGAGTATGGTTTATCCATCTAAGCCTATTCATTGTTTCACTATAGTATCCCCGTAGTTATACATGCTCCTTACGATCAAATGCACCTCACCGATGAGCAATGGCCTGGAGAGCGATGCCACTCCCATGGAGAGCCGGTGCATACCAAACGTGAGCGGCAGATGGTCGTCGCCCAGGTGGTCGGCCAGCAGCACTGGCATCGACGCTATCGTGCCACCGTTATTCAGGCCGAACACCAGCGCCACCACTGCCATGCTCGCCACTGTGTGCAAGTGAGCTAGCAGCAAGTAGCATACGCCCTGCAGAGAACCATTGAAGATGTTGCGTTTAAATAATACGTCGCTCCTCATGGCGTCACTGACTGCGCGCAACATGCTCTTTTCGAGGCTGTTTTGGCATGTGCTGATGAAACTTAAGGTGTTAATCACAAGCAAACGTAAACCCGAAGAAAAACAGGATTTGTGTGTTTTTGCGTGCCAAAACCACGACATAAGAAGCACGCCGTAGTGGAGGGCTGCAAGAACTTCGACTGCCTGGGGTTCTTTACCGTGCACCTTAGTCTAAGCACACAGGCCTCCAACATTTCACTTTCACCTAAATGCGACCAGCGTAGCACGTTTCGAGGAAAAAAAAAGAAGAAAGTGCTATATAGACGACCATTAACTTTATTTAACAAGCATACACAATTCACTAACATGTCCTTACCCCCCTCTCCCCCGCCATCTGGCGCAGCCCTACATTGTGTTTCACTTTCCTCTCTCTCCCTTTTCCGCACATCATCGCTGAAGTGACATGCTCTTTTGAGCGGTATAGCTGCGGTGTTGTTGCTTTGATGGTTCCATCTTCCGATCATTTACGAACGTTCCGCTACAACAGTTGTGGCGCAGCCTGACCTTACGTATACCTGCAAGGTAAAGTTGATGATAAGCATCCACTCGCGGCTGATGCAGTGGCGGTCGGTGATGTAGCCCGTGCCGATTCGGCTCAAGAAGTCGCCAAAGGCCATGGCCGAGATCAGTATGGCGCCGTCGTCGTTGCTGGCATGCGCCACGCCCTCCGCGTGGTCCACAATCGTTATCAGGTAGGTGCCGAACACGTAGCCGTACACCACACCAGTCGCCATCAGCGGCACGAACATCGGGCGCCAGAAGAAGCTGAACATCTGCACGATACCATCCTGCATCAATCCACTGTTTGTGTCTGGCTTTCGTTCGATTGCGTTCAAAGTTCACAGGGTTGAATGGCAGACGTTAAAAGAGAATCGAACCCGTATGGTAAATTAACGCACGCCTGTCTTGTGAACAGTTTCGGAAAACGACAAAGGGGCAAGAAGCTACGTAGGTGCGCGTCATGACTGCGAGCACTTAGGTCTTTTTTTTCTTTTTTTTCAGCACGTCAACTCACTTTCAGCGTATCGCAGGTACACTGGCGTAGCTATAACACAGGTGTGCTAACTAACGTAATTTCCCCCACCCCCACCCTCCTTGTCTCGGTGCAACATGGCTTTTGACACCCCATAACAAAACCCAGTCTATACGCACGTGAGCACCTTAAAAAAAAGCTGCCAGCAGGCCGCGCACCCTCAACACTATAGCTTCACACACTGCAGATGTGGAACATATCTCACCCCACGACGTCTTCGCCGTTGAGGTTCAGACGAGCGCGGTGGCAGCCCAGAAACGATAATGCCGCTCTGCCACAGCAAGTAGGTCTGTGGAGAAGAAGTCGGTGACGGGGTTCTTGCTCGCCGAGTTATCGCAGCTGCTGCACCTCGAGGTAGCGGGTGTGGTGCCTAGCGTGGTGCTGAACAGGGGATGATGCGGCGGCCTCGGAAAGCTGGGCGTCGAGCGTACTGCGATGGAGCCGGCCAGAGCGTTGAGCACGAGCGCGCCCACGATGAGCATGGTGCCCTGCAGGCCGTACTTGTCCAGCAGCCTGCCGATGAGCGGCGGAAGCAGGATGCTGCTGAGCGCCGCTCCGGCGAAGCTCACGCCAGCTCGCCGAGGTCCGGTACTCGTCAAAGTAGCGATGCAGGACCACCACGTTTGTGGGCACCATGAGACCCGACCCAGCCCCTGAGCAGATCCGGAATAATGGGACGATGCCAGACACGGTACCATACAACGCGCTAACCAAGGACGTGCGCGCAGGGAGAATTCGGGGGAGGCGGCCCCTAACTACCTTAACCACTAGAAATATATCTGTAGTAAGACGGTAAGTTGGGCCAGTTGGTCAGGATCCATCGTGAACTTACTTACAGCGCAACACCAGAAAAAATAGAGGACAGGGAAGGAGCAAAAGAGAAAAAAAGGACGGCGCTGCGCCGTCTTTTCTTTCTCTTTTGCTCGTTCCCTGTCCTCTATTTCTTCTGGTGTTGCACTGTAACGTAAGGTCACGATGTACCTTAACCACGTATGAGGGAATGGGGCGAGAAGTCTACCCCATCCTTTTACTCAGTCGTACTCTCCCTGTCTTTGGCTGCAGAAATTAAAGCCTTTTTTTTTCCTTCATACAAACCACTATAACTAATGCAGCAAGGTGGCAAGTTGGGCTAGTCTTCAGTGCGCTTCAACAAAAATTTTCAGTCATGAACTATAACTACTCCCTGTGAATAGTTGAAGAGGGTTATTAGTTGAAGAGATGTTCGGCCAGAAAGGTTTTTAACAATGATGGCGGTCGAAGGTCCCTGATGTGGCATTCCACAAGAGCTTTTTAAGTTCAGTCTACAAAATGAGGAACCTAAGTGCAACCACTGGGATAAGTGTGTTATCACTTCATTTTACATTTTTCATTATTTGAAAAACATGTTGTATTTAGGACTTGGCCAAGGTGAGAGCAAGGGGGCTGGATTAAACCTACGCCCCCCCCCCCCCCTCAGCCCTAATGAGGACGCCTGCGCACGCCTTCGACGGATAATTCATCCGTTTTTGCGGAGCATGGCAGGCGAAGGCTGTAATAACACATCAATGAGGATATTGTACAACCCACTTTACTCTATCCTTCAGAAGACCACGCTCGCGATTGCTCTATTACAACGGGAATTCCGTGACTGCGTCAAACCCCAATATTTATTGCAGTAAACTACAAAGGAAGATATCCTCTTCGGTAATACTGGACCCCAGAATGCGAAAATGCGAAAATACCTTGCACTATTTTGTCGATATAGATATACTTAGTTCCAGCTTTGCACATTTGTTTGGTTAGGTTAGCAAGGGACACTGCGCGAGCGATGAAAGCAGGTTGTTACGTCTAGGTGAACGGCTTGAAAGCAAGTATACAATTTTCATGAAGCTTACGAAAATAGCCAGGCGCGAACTGGCGAATGTGGTGAGGACGAGTAAGAAATTGATAAAAAGCTGTGAGTACAAAGTCCCGGAAATCTATAAGTAACATGTACAGGTATATTTTTCGCTTTACACAACCGACTTACCGAAGCCTAAGCCTATGAAGAGAATGTACGCTGTAGGCGTATTCCAAATGAAGCAAGCGACCGCGCTGACTGCTGCCAGAAGTGTGGCTCCTGTGTTCAGGATTCGGGTGTCCCAGTATCTGACCAGAACGCCGACCAAGAAACCTGCAGGACAGAAAGCAGCGTTTTTTTTTGTCTCCAAGCCATAATGCATGGAGATAACTGTGTGAAGAAGCTGGTTTGTTTACTTAAGAAACAGCGGACAGCTAAATTATCCAATCAGTACCGGAGACGCTGCAGCATACAAACGAGAGCACAGTCTTGCAAAAAAAGCCAGATTTTGTTTCCGAAAGAGTAGGGAGGAGAAAGCGTGTCTAAAACCTTATATACTCGTCTATATTTGTAAGTGCACTTGCGTATATGTGGACCCAACTTACGAAAAAAAAAAAAGAAATAGAAAACTCCGCAGAACGCACGCAATGTGTAAATCAATTTCATGCAAAGCAGTCGGCAAGGTGCCGCTTGTGCAGCATTTGTTGCTTTTGAGCAAACTCTTACAAGGTGGGTAGACATTTCAGCATTCATCATATCGTGGGCCAACCAGACACGTTGATTACATTGGCGCGTAGCTGACTGTCCGACGTATAGCATCGGCACTCGCATGACACCAGGGTCGTCGCGTAAAATTTTTTTAGAAGAGGGGGGTGGAGGGGGCAAAAAAAAAATTAGCTACCGTTTTTGTATGTCAGTATATGTGTACAATATATGCGCAATGAAAATTGCAAAATTTCGGGGGGTGGGAGGGTTGAGCCCCCTTGGCTACGCCATTGATGTGGAGGCGTACAAGAGATAAAAAGGCACCGTCAAATAGATTCAATCAATAGCTGTATTGTAATCACCAGCCAATCGTATCGCTATACCCGAGTCACTCGCTAGACCTCCAGCGGCTTGACGCGGCCCTGGCTCGGCAAAAGCGAACGGAGCAAACTCTTAGTAGCTTGCGCTGGGCCTGCCGTCGTTGAGGTATAAATAGACAGGAGGGTGCGGAACCCTGCGCGGTGCTCCCACCCTCCCCCACGCAGGATTGCCCAATGAAGTCTATTTCTCTCTCTCTCTCTCGCTAGACCTATGCCTACAAGCGTATTGCATTCACTTAAGTTCACCAGCGCGACGCTGGTGTTCTCACAAGTGCGACACGCGTCAGCATCAAGCATGGGGACATGTGTATAGCGTGTAAATATGTGTCAGTGCGAACCTTGCGCCGAGTTGACGGTATTGCAGATCTCGAAGGGCCACGCGGCCTCCTCGCGGGAGATGCGGAAATTGGACACCAGGCCAACCAGGAGGATGCCCGAGCTGCGAAAGATGATGGCGGCCCACACCTGGATCCAGAAGCACATGGCCGCCAGGAACCAGGCGTAGGAGCTGTCCACAAGCTGCAGCGCCGACATGGTTCCTATAGGCTTGGCGGCGTACACACCCTCGCCTCGTGAAACGTTGCTTCTCTTCTCGAGCTGGGAACGTAGACTGATGATGATGATGATATCCTCTTCCTGATGGCGCTCAAAAAGGGAATGGGCTGATGACTGGGTGGCACAATGTTCAAGGCAAAAATTTATGTAGCTAAACAAACACTGGAATTTTAGACTAAAAATAAAGCATAAGACAAATTAAATTTCTAAACGAACATTTTCGTGAAAGAATGTAAGAGGGGACTTGTTGGTGGTGATGCATGCATGATGGAATTTGTAGCGCACGAAAAAAACACGGACAAAGTAAGACATGGCGGCACGATGCGCTTGCCCGTCGTTTTCAATTTATTTTAGTTCGCAACAAGTTTTATGGTGACCATTTATTCCTCCCTCCTTCCTCACCTACGCTTCTCGTTTACGCACCCTTGCTATACTACACTACGCGGAGGTGCGTGTTCTGCCAGTGTGCCTGACGTTTCTTCGATTTAGGCGTATATACGTTTTGACCAGGTCGATTTCGCCTCCAACTTCCAACAACTAAGCAAGGACCTCACACGGCAACAGTACCCGCAATCTGTCATCAACGATGCTATCAAGATATCTGAAAAGCGGGATCACCGCCATCTGATAAAACACAAGACAGGATCCTGCGAACACTACTCCTAATTTTTAATACAGTTCAGTCTCTCTCCCTAACATAAACCACATCCTAAAAAGGCACACATCGTTTGGGTTGAGAGCGACAAGTTACGATGTGTATTTCTGGAACCACCACGCGTAGAGGGGCGAGGAACATGAGAGATATTGTAACGTCCTCTAAAGTCAACACTCATGAATTCACGGGCAGCAGCCCCTGCAACAAACCTAGGTGTAAACTCTGTCCGATGAGCTTCCAAGATTTAAATCTGTTTATTTCACCATCAAAACGAAATGTGGCAGCCGAGGAGCCCAGGTAAAAGTGCCATGGACACTTACAAACAAACAAAATACCTTGGCGGTATCGCAGCCGCATGAAAAAAATGCATGATAACATGATAAACAAGGTGTCCACCATCACAAGTAACGCGTCATCATTTTCTTATCATATAAGAGGCAACTTCAACGGTCCCAGCGCAAACGTCATCTACCTTCTCGATTGCACCTTTAACAGTACATTTATATGTCAAACTGAGACTGCATTAAGGATGAGAATCAACAACCACAGAGCACACGTACAGGCGCGACCGCACCTTCCTCTCTCTAAACAGGTTAATAATCTCGGCCACACATTTTCTGCGGTGGTGCTTCAATCCTATTTAAAAA